TATATATATATATATGCAATCAGGTTAATAATTTTTTAAAGATTTGAATGATGATGCAAAAATATTTATTTTTTTTATTTTTGTACTACGTCATTTCCGTTTCCTTTGTTTCTTCCATCTTTTTTGCCACTGAAAACATGATCTGAACTGTGAGACAGAACTTTCTCAGTAAGATAGATAAGATAATATTATTTTATTGATCCAAAGCGTTCCCGGTCTCTGGTTGGCAAGTCTGTGGTGGCTTGTCGATTAGGAGGCGTCGGCAAGCGACCCCCTTGACTTTACCCGGGAAACACAACCACTGGGCACGTCCTGCATGGGTAGACAAGGGATGTGCTCGGTACCTGCCGTACATAAAACATCTCTTACAGGGCTGCCAGTTGTGATATTTCCCAACTGGAACAATAGGCAGTGACAGGGTAGGGATCATGATTACAAGTTGCCGTTAATGGATATGAGGCGAGAGGCGAAAGGGGTAACCTCTGTCCGATGATTCTTACTAAGCAGCCCTGGGATTAAGATGGAGACCCCGTTGTTCCTAGCCATTCGATTGTCTTGTTTTTTGGAGGGAGCGGTATGCTTATTCTCTGAGATCGTGCTCTGTCAGTAAGTCTACCACACCAGCGTGCACGGTCCTTTGCAAGTGTCTCCCAGGAGTACAGGTCAACAATGTCAATGCATTTGAGTAAAACTTTTAGAAAGTTCTAAACTTGTTTATTTTTTATTACCACCAGCTCATCGTTTCCCACTGGAGAGTTCACTGACAACTAGTTATTTGGAAAGTCTGCTGTCTGCCATTTTTTCAACATTCCTTGCCCATCCGGCTTGTCTCTTCTTGGAAGCGTGAGGGTGTTGATAACTTTCTCAGTAAGATAGATAAGATAAGATTACATTGATAACGTCAATTTTTAGTTGGACCTTCTTATCCGGGCCACAGTCATTTGCCATCATTATTTCAAGTAGTTTTCGTAGGTGGAGAGCGTATGTGGAGATGGTGAAATTTATTTTTGGGATAACCTGGGTAAAAAAAAAATAAGATTTACCCAAACAGACAAAGGGCAATAAAACGGGGCAAAATTAAGAAACAAAAATAGATTTAAAAACTTGAAATGTTGTTATATTATATTATTTTGTGGTTGATTGGTTTGTTGTTGTTATTGTTGTTGTTATTCTTTTCAGTTAATAACAATAAAAAGAATATGATATTGATTTCAACACGCACGAACGTCAGTATCGATTACAGACCTTTTTGTCTGGGCTTATCAAAATATAAGACGAGAATATTAGCTTAAAATCCCAAAGGCAGCGATATGATTAGAGTTTAAAAGATTACTAAAAAAATTAAATTAAAACAATTGCATTGACAATCAACGTGTAAGAACGTTATTATTGATTGCAGACATTGCATGGACTTTTTTTAAAATGTACTATCACAAACTCACAGTCAACGTTGCTCCATAATTTTAAAACATGGGATTAGACTTTTTTTCTGTTTAAGTGTATAATCTAATCATTTCTTCCTCAAGACGTGTCTATCCAGGAGTGACCAGTGTTGGTGAGCAACATCCTTCCAATTCACTGCTACAATATGTTATCCAACGCCATGGCATTTTATGGATGTATGGCTCTGTTATTCATTGTGTGTAAGTTTTATTTTATTTTTTATTTACCAAATAAGCACCTACCTAGCTACATATACAGTATCTCATGATGTGTAGGTATTTACCAAATAAGCATCTTCCTAGCTACTTATACAGTATCTCATGATGTGTAGGTATTTACCAAATAAGCATCTTCCTAGCTACATATACAGTATCTCATGATGTGTAGGTATATTAACAAATAAGCATCTTCCTAGCTACTTATACAGTATTTCATAATGTGTAGGTTCGCTGTTCACCACATTTTTTATAAAAAAACATTGATGGGGCTGATTTTTAAAATGAAAGAAAATAAAATGAGCTTCTCTTACGCTTTGCTCGAATTAAATAAGACAATATTATAATAGTAAACCTTGAGTAGCTAAGGGGACAAATTGCAGGAGAAATGAGTTACTTGCCAAAAAAATAATTTTTACATTTCCAATAAGTCTCTTGCATATAAATAACTGTTGAGTCCAACGTGTTTCAAGAGATCAACTTTTAGACCTGGATCTTCGTCGCAGACGAGAAACTGTGACTCTGGGTAAAGCTTTTCGTCAGAGCAGCCGGCATCAAACTTGTGTCCCCGGGCAAAATACTTTAAAGCCATGCTGTCTCGGTCGATAGAAATTTATTTTGAGCTAGATGATATTTCCATGTATTACATCCTGAGAATCGTCTTCTACTGGATACAAAATGTTTTGGTCACACAAACAAATGTTGGTCAATACATAAACAAATAATCAGTGATGGTCTGTTTTAAATATCCCTTTGTCTTTTATTTGAATCGTAAGACAAGAACTTACAATGCAGAGTCTGCAAATGTATAATAAAATAAAATAGGCCGCTAGTATCTGTCCAACCCCCATTTTTTTAGCCCATTCTTACAAGATAGAAATTCAGGTACTTTTTTGAAATATGGAGTAAGGTAACCACTCGAAGAGTTCCATATTACGTAATAGCAACATTTGAAACTTCCCCATTTTATTTTTTTTTTTAAATAAAGATATTAAAAATATTCATTTAAAAGTAGATTGACACTTGCTTCTTTCTCAATGTATTTATGCAGGTGTCAAAACAGATACAAACCCCCCGCGCATTGCTGAAAACTGCCAGGAGAGAATTGACGAATGCAAGAAAATGGCAACAAACGATGCGGAGATTTTGTAAGAGAAACGTATTTATTTGTGAAATTTCGCCGCAGGAATTTAAGTATATTTTCTCATGTACGTTTAATATTGTGTGCCTTAATATATATTTTTTTGACACAGTCACGTAGGTAGACGTAAGAGGAGGTGCGATCCAGCTGTGGTAGCAATCATTTTCTGTATATGCAAGGGAGATGTTTTCGGTCTGATGCTGGGGTGTTCGGAGAGATTGTGGGCTAATGCAAGCTCAGCTGATGCATGCTTTTTTAAAATGTCCTCATAAATGTAATAATATTGAAGCAGTACATCCCCATGTATGTATAAGGACATTAGCCAAACTAAGACAAAAACTTACATTCAGATTTTTTTTTCAGATTTAATCAAATTGACATAGCTAAATGCTTTTCGAGCTTCGTATGCAAGGAAAGTGAAGACGGCTTAAGGATTAAAGCCATGTTTGATTATGGAAGAACAATTTCCAGTTAGTACTTATATTACTATAATTGTTTTCTTGACATTTACTGCGGTAGATTGTTAAAGGTATGTCCTTTTAAAATTGCATTTAGCTTTAATTCAAAGTTCATGCTACTTGCATTGCTTTTTTCTTTTTATAAAACTGATAAGTCTTTGCTCTTCACTTAGGGAAGATGCATAGCTCTCTGTACTCTGTCTTTATTAATTTTTGCTTGAGTCATTTTTCAGATTTTCCACTTAATGCAGCGAAGACAAGGCTCTGCCCTTCTGTACTTTCGAAACACTGTATCAATCAGCGAGAGAGAGTGAGAGAGAGATAGACAGACACAGAGAGAGAGAGAGAGAGAGATAGAGAGAGTGTTTGTGTGCTTAGACCTACTGAAAGTTACATATGCCTGGTTGCTGCTTCATCACGTGAAATTTATTGTGTTAAATTTTTACTGACTTCATCCACAAAAGCTCCTGATGAACAATTTGAGATCTGGATTCTCAGCCGTTCAGTATTGTTAAATGTTGGACGATGGAAAGAGACTACTTCTTTATTTCGATTCGCTGCAGTTCTAAAAATAAAAAATAAAAAATGTGTTAAAATATTTTTTCAGTGGAGGGTGATGAGCTCTATCAAGACGGCTTTGTCCGAACTGGGTCTTCAAGTTTGGCAGTGATCATTAGCGTTTCCTACAAGACATTGATCATCAGTTCTGTCACAGCGTTTCTCTTAGCTTAGCTATTAATAAACCTTCAACAAGCCATGAATATGCTCTAATTGTAAGCTATTCAAAAATTAAGGGAAAAAAAATAAACATGCGCATGAAAGGGGCTGATAACTTGTACTTTTAATGAGTTTTCAAAAAATGCATTTGAAATATACAAAATGGTTGTATAAGAACAAGCATAAATATCCTAATTGTTGAGTATTGTATGATCCAGTGACATTATTGTTTTACATTAGCTAACAATTGAAATCTCATAGAAATATACATAGATTTAGTTCATTACAGATGAACGTTATTTTCAGTAAGAATGGAAAGGAATAAAATCCTTCGGCCTTTAAGGTGTATTAAAATTGAATAAACTACCATTTTATTATAAATTAAATACACGTTTGCAGTATACAGCCGAATACAGCCATTTGAGGAAATTGTAATTTGTTTTTTTTCCAAATTAAAATTTTTTAAAGATCTACTTTCGCAAATCTGTTTTGAAAATTTCTTTTTTCTTTGTAACATCTTGTTTTCATTTTGACACGATATCAAATTTAGTATAACGAATAAAATTGGAATAAACTTGCACTCAAAGTAAAAATATTAGCCTAACCTATTGTTGGTTTGTTTGACTAAAAACAAAATAAATTATCAATTTTCTGTTAATTTAAATAGTTCAGAAAAATCATTAATTATTTTTACGAAAAAGTTTCGATGCATTCATAATGCCCATGTATCAACTTTGTCTTGTCATCTTACAAAATTCTGGAAATCCAGTGTCAGGATCAGAGGCAAACCTCACAAGAGCTGGGCCAACTCTGTTATGTTCAGCTTAAAAGATCAGAGACAAACCAACTGTTTTAAGTGCATCCTAAAAGATCAGAGTCAAACCACACAAGAGCGGGTCCAATTGTCGTATGTCCACCATCAAAGGCTTTAACTTGAATGTACATCAGCCATCACATCAGATGTAATCGCCGATTTTACCTCCATGTTTTTCCGTAGAAAAAAAAACGAAAAAAGGAGGACTTCAAGTTTATGGCCAGGGCTTACTTAAAAATGATGACCGTATATTTAAATTTACTGGAGTCAAATTTATGTAACAAATACAGTTTCTTTTTTCTGGCAATGTTGCCAAATTTATTTAAGAAGCGTCTTTTTGGTATATGGATGTCATTATTTTTTTTTTCCAATGGTTTAAAGAAATATAAAAGCAATATAGGATCGATTATATGTTTGTAATATCAGATAATTTTCCGACAAAGGAGCAGTGCGAAAGTTGAGCCCAAATTTAAGGACATGTCATACATATGCAAAATATCGTTTAAATTTTGTGAAATGTTTTTAATATTGTCAATGTCGATAATAAAATCAGTGACTGTTTGAACCCACAACGTCGCGGGTATTTTTGATGACGATATGGGACAGCAACGCCGTGTTTCGGTCTGACAAGATTCGGATTCCCTGACACAATATTGTCAGATAATGGAAATCAATTTCGGCCACACGTTACTCCAGCTTTCACAAATATGCTGAATATAAGACAGACGTCTGCTGCAAGGAACAGACTATAAGCCAAATGGTGCCGCAAAGAGGGAAAACCAATCAATTAATATGATATTAAAGAAAGTTGTCAATGATGAACAAGGAGATTAGGACACAGTTTTTACCCTTGGTACTTTTTGACTACTGAGAAATACCACATGAAGTAACAGGTTTTCACCATTTCATCTTGTCTATGGAGCAAATCCTAAGAGCCCATTAGAACAGTATATAAAGAATTGTTTTTGAATAAAGAAAACTTATTTCTTCACACGATCATGTCACCAAGACAATAACTTTGTGTGTGCTTTGCAATATAACAAGAAAACTTACACAATAAAAACAGTAACCATAGAGATGTAGTCAACAGAAACAGATATCTAAGAGAACTAGAGCCTCAAGACAAAGTATGGTTTTTTTCTACCCCTGAAAGTCAGATTTGAAAATGTGGATCAAGGTCCACACATAATGTGTTAGAAAAAATTAGCAAATTAGATTATAAAAAATAAGTTATAAGAATCAAAGAAAAAAAAAACAAATTATTTCTCATGGATTTACTAAGAACTTTTGAGGAGCCACCTAAACCTCTACAAACCATCATTGAAGAAGTTATAGAAGGCAAAGAAACATCCTCATTGAAGAATGAAAATGTTATAACTATGTTTGGATTAGTGAAGAACACTGCTACATTTGCAAAAAATAATGAACATGATATTCAACAAGGTACATATGAAGATGCATATTTCACGACCTCATCATAATTGCACCAAGAAGAAGAGCAACAATTCCAAGTGAAGTGGTATCAAAGTATATTTCCTTTTTTTTATTTTTCAATAAATGGGGGAAGAAAGCAGATTTTTCGGACTCACAAGGATTGGATTTCAAGTAGAAAAACAAAGAAAATGATTTATTCCCATGTCACATTAGAGTGGTGGTACACCATCAGTGAGTGTTAGTACTCCATATTTGAGTGGTGGTACACCATCAGTGAGTGTTAGTACTCCATATTTGAGTGATGGTACACCATCAGTGAGTGTTAGTACTCCATATTTGAGTGGTGGTACACCATAGTTGAATGGTAGTTCTACATATTTGAGTGGTGCTCCACAATCTTTGAGTGACAGTACGCCTTATTTGAGCGGTATTGCATCATCCTTGAGTAGCAGTACACCATCTTTCAGTGGTGGTACACCAGCTTTTGGTGGTAGTGCGCCACATTTCAGTGGCTTTTCAGAACCTCTTTTATGATCGAACAGATTAATATTTTTAAGAATTTCAAAAATACGTCCTAAACTTGTACACCACCTTAATGACAGTACTGTCACTTTAAAACACATTCCTACACACATACACAGACACACACACACACACACACACACATATATACATATATATACGTTTATATATGCAATGAGGCTAATCATTTTTTAAGAAATTAATGATGACGCAAAAATATTTTATTTTAAATTTTTGTTGTTGTACTACGTCATTTCCATTTCCCTGTTTTCTTCCATCTTTGTTTACAACTGAAGACATCATCTGGACTTTGAAACAGAACTTTATCCGTAAGATGGATAAGATACGATTATTTTATTTATCCAAGTAAATGAAAATGTAAAATCTATCTCTTCTAAACCAGGTAGGAAACTATAACAACACCTTCTTGTACGCAGATGATCCGCCAGTTTGATTTGTGCCAGGAAAACGTAAAAGCAACTCGGACACAAGTGGTTTTGGGTCCAAGATGAAGACTCCGATGTTCCGAGGATTCGATTTTCTTTTCTTTTTTTTTTTTTTTTGGTTGAGGGGTATGCTTTTTCTCTGAGGATCGTACTCTGTCAGTAAGTCTACCACACCAGCGAGCACGGTCCTTTGCAAGTCTCTCCCATGAGTACAGGTCAACAATGTCAATGGATTGGAGTAAGACATTTAGAAATGTCTTGACGTCGTGTTTATTTTTAATTTCCACCAGCTCCTCATTTCCCACTGGAGAGTTCCTTGAACAGTGGTTGTGTGGGACGTCCGCTGCCTGCCATTCTCCCAACATTCCTTGCCCATCCGGCGTGTTTATTTTTTAAGTTCCACCAGCTCATCATTTCCCACTGGAGAGTTCATTGAACAGTGGTTGTGTGGGACGTCCGCTGCCTGCCATTCTCCCAACATTCCTTGCCCATCCGGCGTGTTTATTTTTTAAGTTCCACCAGCTCATCATTTCCCACTGGAGAGTTCATTGAACAGTGGTTGTGTGGGACGTCCGCTGCCTGCCATTCTCCCAACATTCCTTGCCCATCCGGCGTGTTTATTTTTTAAGTTCCACCAGCTCATCACTTCCCACTGGAGAGTTCACTGAACAGTGGTTGTGTTGGACGTCCGCTGACTGCCATTCTCTCAACATTCCTTGCCCGTCCGGCGTGTTTCTTCCAAGGAGCTTGAATGTCCTGATCAAGTCAATACCTTGTTGGACTTTTTTTATCCGGGTCTTAGTCACTTTCCACATTATTATTTCAAGAAGTTTATGTGGGTAGAAAGCGTATGTGGAGATGGTAAACTGTTTTGCATATCTGCTGTACGCCTACCACGTTTCGCGCGCGCCAAATTTGTTTAAGGAACACCATGACCTAATTACATATATTTTAACAATTAAAGACATTGATGTTTGTAACAAGCTGGGTAAAAATAGGGTTTAAACAAATAGACAAAGAGCGATAAAACCGGGCCAAGAAAAGAAAAAAAAATGATTAAAAAACTTGTAATAATTTTATCTTCTATTAATTGGTTGTTGATTGATGCTTTTTTTTATTGTGTTGTTGGTGGTGTTGTTTTTTTAAGTCAAATAACAATAAAAAGTTTATGAGACAGATTTCAACACGTACCAACGATAGCATCGATTACAGACATTGTTGGCGCGACTTATACAAAAATAAGACGAGGATATTCGCTTATGATCCCAAGACAGCGATATGATTAGAGTTTATACGATTACTAAACAATTTTTATTAAAACCTTTGCATTGAATTTTTAAAGTGTACTATTACAAGTATGCAATCAACACTGCACTATAATTTTAAAACATGGGATAAGACTTTTTTTCTGTTTAAGTAGATAATCTAATCATGTCTTCCTCAAGGCGTGTCCATCCAGGAGTGACCAGTGTTGGTGAGCAACATCCTTCCCATTCAAGGCTACAACATGTTATCCAACGCCGTGGCATTTTATGGATGTATGGCTCTGTTATTCATCGTGGGTAAGTTTTATTTTATTTTTTTATTTACCAAATAAACATCTACCTAGCTACATATACAGTATCTCATAATGTGAAGGTATTTAACAAATAAGCATCTACCTAGCTACTTATACAGTATCTCATAATGTGTAGGTATTTACCAAATAAGCATCTACCTAGCTACTTATACAGTATCTCATGATGTGTAGGTATTTACCAAATAAGCATCTACCTAGCTACTTATACAGTATCTCATGATGTGTAGGTTCGCTGTCCACCACTATTTTATAAAAAACATTGATGAGAATGATTTTTAAAATGAAAGGAAATGAAAAGGACTTCTCTTAAGCTTTGCTCGAATTAAAAACGACAATATTATAATAGTAAACCTTTAGTTGGTAAGGGAACAGATGCAGGAAAATGAGTTACTTGCCAAAAACTAAACTTTACATTTCAAGTAAATTTCTTGCATATAAATAACTGTTGGCTCCAACGTGTTTCAAGAGAACAACTTTTAGACCTGGATTTTCGTCGTAGATGAGAAACTTTGACTCTGGGTCTAGCTTTTCGTAAATGTTGTCCCGGCAAAATACTTTAAAGCCATGCTATCTCGGTCGATAGGTTTTATTTTGGAGTAGATGATATGTCTCCATTTATTACACCCTGAGAATCGTCTTCTACTGGATACAAATTGTTTTTGTCACACAAATAAATTTTGGCCAATAAATAATCCAGTTATCAATGATGGTCTGTTTTAAAGATTCCGTTGTCTTACATTTGAATCATAAGACAAGAACTTACAATGCAGTGTCTGCATATTAATAATAAAATACAAAATGTCGCCTTTGTCTGACCGCCCCCTTTTTCAGCCCATTCTTATGAGATTGCAATTCAGGTACATTACGACTTTGAAATATTGAGTCAAGTAACCACTCGAGGAGTTCCACAATACGTTCTGTGCACTATTTTGAACTTCCTCATTTTTAGTTTTTTTTTTTAATAAAGATAAAAAAACTATTCATTACAAAGTAGATTGACACTTGCTTCCTTCTCAATGTATTTATGCAGGTGTCAACACTGACACAATCACCACGCGAATTGCTGAAAACTGCCAGGAGAGCATTGACGAATGCAAGAATATTGCAACAAACGATGCGGAGATTATGTAAGAGAAACGTATTTATTTGTGAAATTTTGCCACAGGAAATTAAGTATTTATCTCAAGAACGTTTATTATTGTATACATTAAAATGTTGTTGTTTTTTTTAAACACAGTGGCGTAGGAAGGGGGAAAGGTTTTAGAGGTGATGCGATCTATTGTGGTGGCAATCATTATCTTTAAACGCAGGGGACAACTTATCGGCGTATTGCAGGGGTGGTAGCAGGGGGTGTGGGCTAACGAAAGCCTTTTTTTAAATGTCGCAATAAATGTAAAAATAGTGAACGAGTACAAAACTAGCACAAAACATACATGCAGACTTTTTTTCAGACTTGAAGATAGATGGGTCATAGTTGAATGCTTTATTTATTTAGGCATTTTTATATAGCGCTTACCATAAAGCTCTAAGCGCTTTACAATTATTAAAAACATGTAAACTAAGTAAAATAAAAATGAGACACTAGGATAGTAACTACTATACTATAGAAATATGACCTTCGTATGCAAGGACAATGAAGACTACTTAAGGAAAGAAGCCATTTTTGGTAGCAGCAAGCCTTTTTTGAAATGTCGCAATAAATGTAACAATATTGAACGAGTACAAAACTAGCACAAAACATACATGCAGACTTTTTTCAGATTTAAACAAAGGAATATAGCTGAATGCTTTACGAGCTTCGTATGCAAGGACAGTGAAGACGACTTAAGGATGAAATCCATGTTTGATTATGGAAGAACACTTCCTAGTAAGTACTTATATTACTATAATTGTTTTCTAGAAATTTACTGAAATCTGGTCGATTGTTAAAGGTATGTCCTTTTTAAACTGGCATATAGCTTTATTTCAAAGTTCATGCTATTGGCATTGTCTTTTTCAGATAAAACCCATTAGTCTTTGCTCTTCACTTGGGGACGATGCATACCTCTCTGTACTCTGTCTTTCTTTAAATTTGCTTGAGTTATTTTTGATATTTCCCACTTAATGCACCGAAGATAGGATTCTGCCCGTTTGTACTTTCGAAACACTGTATCAATCTGTGAGAGAGAGAGTGTGTGCTTAGACGTACTGAAAGTTACATATGTCTGGTTGCTTGCTCATCATGTGAAATTTTATTGTGTTAAATTATTACTTACTTCATCCACAAACGCTCCTTATGTACAATTTGAGATCAGGATTCACAAACGTTTATTATTGTTGAACGTTGGATGATGGCAAGAGACTACTTCTTTATATTGATTCGCAGCAGTTCTAAGCCTGTTTCACTTTATCAAAGCATTACACTATATATCTCTGTTGATGTTAAATTTTTTCTTAATGGTCAAATAAATGTTAGTTCAAATGAAATCAATTAAATATAATCTATTTATGAGCTTGTAATTTTAGGCTTTAAAAACAAAATTAGACTGAGTCCAAAAGAAAAAACAAAAATTGAATTTGTTAAAATGTGTTTCAGGAAAGGATGATGTGCTCTTTCAAGACCGCTTTGTCCGAACTGGGTCTTCAAATTTGGTAGTGATCATCGGCGTTTCCTACGAGACATTGATCATCAGTTCTGTCACAGCGTTTCTCTTAGCTTAGCTATTAATAAACCTTCAACAACCCATGAATATGCTCTAATTGTAAGCTATTCAAAAATTATGAAAAAAATAATAATTAAATAAATATGTGTTGAAAGGGGCTGATAACATGTATTTTTAATGAGTTTTAAAAAAATGCAATTGAACTATACAAAATGGTGGTATAAGAACAAGCATAAATATCCTAATTGTTGAGTATTGTATGATCCAATGACATTATTGTTGTACATTAGCTAACAATTGAAATCTCATAGAAATATACCTAGATTTAGTTCATTAACGATGAACGTTATTTTTAGTACGAATGGAACAGAGTAAAATCATTCGGCTATTAAAGAGTATTAAAATGGAATAAACTATCATTTTATTCTAAATGAAATGCACCTTGGGCAGTCTTCACAAAAATGTAATAGAGAAAAATGTGAATTGTTTTTTTTCAAATTAAATTTTTTCAAAGAGCTCCTTTAGTCAATATATTTTGAAAATTTCTTTTCTCTTTGTAATATCTTTTTTTTTTTTTTTTTCAATTGAGATGATATCATATTTATTATAACGAATAAAATTGAAATAAAATTTCACTCAAAGTAAAAATGTTAGCCTAATTTTTTGTTTGTTTGATTTTTAAAAAAAATAAAAAATTATCAATTTTTTGTTAATTTAAATCATTAAGAATAAGTTGTTAATGTTTTGACGAAAAATTTTTGATGCATCCATAATGCCTATGTATCAACTTGTCTTGCCAATCTTACAAAATTCTGGAAATACAGTGTCAGGTTCTAAGACAAACTTCATAAGAGCTGGGCCAACTTGTTATTTTTAACCTAAAAGATCAGAGACAAACCTCACAAGAGCTGCACCAACTGTGTTTTGTTTAACCTAAGAGATCAGAGTCAAACCTCACAAGAGCTGCACCACCTGTGTTTTGTTTAACCTAAGAGATCAGAGTCAAACCTCACAAGAGCTGCACCAACTGTGTTTTGTTTAGCCTAAAAGATCAGAGACAAACCTCACAAGAGCTGCACCAACTGTGTTTTGTTTAACCTAAGAGATCAGAGTCAAACCTCACAAGAGCTGCACCAACTGTGTTTTGTTTAGCCTAAAAGATCAGAGACAAACCTCACAAGAGCTGCACCACCTGTGTTTTGTTTAGCCTAAAAGATCAGAGACAAACCTCACAAGAGCTGCACCAACTGTGTTTTGTTTAGCCTAAAAGATCAGAGTCGAAATTCAGCGGGACCAGCTGTGTTATGTCAACCATAAAAAGACATCAAATGTGATCGCCGAATTTACCTCCATGTCTCCCCGTAGAAAAAAAACTAAAAATGGAGGACTTCAACTTTAAGTTTATGGCCAGGGCTTACTTAAAAAGTGATGACTGTATATTTTAATTTACTGGATTAAAATGTATGCAAAAAATAGGTAATTTTTCTGGCAATTTTGCCAAATTTTACTTAAGTACCTTCGTTTGGGAATATGGATGTTATTTTTTTTTTAAATAATGGTCTAAAGATTTAAGGACATGTCATACAACACAGTCTTAACTTATTTGAGCGAATAGTGTATACAACATGTCTATTTAATAGGTATACTCGGTGTGATTGCCATAGTTGTTATTTTTTATCCGTTTCTGAAATTTCCTTTGGCTGAGTGAGCTGTTGCTATATTAATATAAAGGACCAGTTTTATTTAATATGACGTCTATGATGGCAAACTTACCATTTAAATTCTCAGGGCCAAATCTTCTGAGAATATCGCGTAGTGCGAAGTTTTGTGGGTATCAGAAACGGTAATCATTCCTCAAAGGTGAGAAAAACTTTAACATGAAGTGTTTTCAAATATTTTAATCGTAGTTCATTAACTTAAAAAAGCTTTCTAGCTAATAAAACGTCTGTAAATTCATGTCAAAAGAAATGATCATACGTCTATGTGTTTTTGCCTAAATTGAGGAACAATTTTTCCTCCATGTTTGAGAGACGTTTTAAAATGATAAAAAGTCATTTAAAAACAAATTTTAAAGACTTTTTTTTTTCTTAGGACATCAGAGCGCCGTGAGCAAGCTAAAATAACTTGGAGACAAACGCTTTAAAAGTACTTAATCATCATCATCATCATCATCATCATCCCCATCCAACAACTTAGTATTCGATCAAATTCTCATTTCGTCAAAAAAATTTTTTTTTAAATATTTTTTAAAAAAAATAAAAAAGTAGTGCTATCATTTAAAAAAAAAAAAAAGATTTTGTTTAAAATGTTGATTTGTGTGAAGTGAGCTGACGCGTTAGGTTACAGATATTCCTGTAACAAGATAGAAGTTTTTGGATTTTAGAAATGTATTGGTACGGGGGGAGGGAGGGAGTTAAATTGCTGTTTAAGTTAGACAGGGGCATGGGCGCCCACAGATAGTGGCAAGGTGGGGCACTTGCCCCCCCCCCTGGATTGATTGGATAAAAAAAATTTAGACAAAAATTGTATTAAAGTAAAGAGAAAATAAAGAGAAAGTAACTAAGCTGATGTCATGTCCGTTCGTTCACCATACAAATACGCTAAAGTAAATTAAAACTATATTAAAACATTACTAAAATATTTTTGCCCCCCCCCCCCGGAAAGTTAATCAATTTTTTTGCCCCCTCCCCTGGAAAGTTTTCTGCGGGCCCCCATGGACAGGGGGGTTTACGATGATTGATTGTGAGGGTTGGTATTTTCCTAAACAAATTATATGGGAAGTGAAGCTATATTAGAAGAATGTGTTGCCGGAAATTACAATGGAATTTAAAATTATTGGGGGTGGGGGGTGGGGCAGGATTTTACATTAAAGGTAAGTGGGGAAGTACTTTACAAAACAAGTACTTGGGATGAGATGCCAACATATAATTATGTTGAGAAGTACTTTACAAAAGAAGTCATTTGGACGGGTAGTTTCCACAAAAGGTAAATCTTAACATAGAGGAAATTTCACCTTTGTAATATAAAATAATAGAAATGCGGAGCAAAATTTCTATCGTACATAAAAAATAATAAAGATAAGTAATTCGAATAAATTTTAAGATACAAATGATGACGCAATTTTTTTAATATTTGTGTGTGTGTGTGTGTTTGTGAACTATGTCATTTCCGTTTCTTTCTTTCTTCCATCTTTTATTTTATCAAGTGAACACATCATATAAACTTTGATACAGGACTTCAAAGGTTTAAAAAAAAATCACGTAGAAATATTATAGTTAAACTTTCTTTTGAACATTTTCAAAATGTATATGTTTCTTATTTTAAGGGGGCATTTCCAAAGTTCAGTAAGCTGGTTTTATAATTTGTATTGATAGAGCACAACTTCTTTGATGATCAACCCCAAATCAAAGCCTACACACGTTAACGTGGCCCCTGACCTTGTACAACAGGGTTATGGCGGTGTTCTTGTTCGTCTGTCACATGCGAAGATGACAGAGACTATATTCCACGTTAGGCACACAGATGGAGTTGGTTCAATTCCACTGTATCTGGCTATGTGATTTTATTATTTGTTTGTTTGTTGGTGTTTTTTGTGAGCCGAGTGTTTCTTCTCTGAAGAATGTGTTCTGTCTTACAGTGAGTCTGCAGCGCACGTTCCATACCACATCTCTACCACCAATACAGGTCGATTTGAGTGAAGCTTTTCATAATGTTCTTGAAGTTGTTGTTGTTTTTTTCGTTTTTTTTGTTGAGTCTGCTGTCTGACCTTCTCGAAAATACATTGTTCATGTAATGTTGCCTTCTTTTTTTAGCAGCAAGTGGATGTTGATTAAATTCAAAACGTATTTGCACCATTGTTTCCCGGACTTTGTCGACTGTCACAATATTCTTCGAAGTTTAATGTAAATAGCGTAGGTGGAGATGGCTAACTGTCTTGCAAGTCTGTTGCACGTTGTCGCATGTACATAACTTGTTGAGTCAGTAGTGGAAACTGAAAATAAATTATTGAACAATAATAGAAGTTGACGTTTGTAAGGAAAACAGACACACACTACAAAATAAAAAAAAGAAAGAAAATATTAGAAAAAAAATCTTGAAATATTGACTAAGCATATTAATTCCTGGTCGCTTGGTTATTCTTAGATTTTTAATATAAAAAAAATACGATATAAATTTAAACACGTAAACATTTTAGCATCGTTTACATATAAATGTATCGATGCTTATCAAAAAAAAAAAAAAAAAAAAAAAAATTACCCTTTAAAAAAAACCAAAAAAAAAAAAAAAACGCTTGGTTATTCTTAGATTTTTAATATAAAAAAAATACGATATAAATTTAAACACGTAAACATTTTAGCATCGTTTACATATAAATGTATCGATGCTTATCAAAAAAAAAAAAAAAAAGAATAGTAAGTTACATTAGAAAAAACTCCAAGATAGCGATATGATGAGAGCGGCCAACCATTCACAAACAATTTAAATTAAGTTAACATGATTGAAATAAGGACGGACACCAAACGTTTTTTCATGTACTTTTTACAGTCGTGCAGTCCGTCAACATTGCTGGCTAAATTTTATTTATGACATGAGACAACACTGTTTTGTTTAAACAGGCCATCTAAACTTGTCGCACTCAAGCCTTGTCCATCCAGAGGAGAGACCAGTTTTGGGTGAGTGACAGCCTTCACATTCGCTGCTACCTACAAGATGCCATCTAACGCCGTGGTATTTTTGGGATGCATGGCTCTGTCATTTATATCTGGTGAGTTTTCATTTATTTTTCTCTTAACCAAATAATTATTTTTTCCAACTACATATCCTGATGCTTAGCAATATTTCTTACAGCAGGGTCCATTTCTACCATAATATCACGAACATGGTAACGAAGAGATAATGTTTATTTTTAATGAAACAAATTAAAATGAATTTATTTTGTGATCGAATTAAAAATGACAAAACTATAGTGAAAGTTGATTAGGTAAAATGAACAAATCCAACAAAATTTAAAAGTTGCTAGCCCGCTTACCAAAATTACACTTAACTTTCGATTAAATTAGTTGCATATAAATAATTGATCATTGCAAGTTGATTCAAGGAAACAGCATTTAGAGTTGGAGTTTCTTCGTTGATGACAAACGACTACTTTAGGTTTCGCTGTTATTTAGAGCAGCAGGCTTCGACATGTTGTCCCCGGCAAATAGCTTTCCGGCAATTCTGATGCGATTGATAGGGTTAATTTTGGAGTAAGAGGTAAAAAAACAACAACAACAACATGCTCCCATCTTTTGCAGCCCGAGAATCGACTTCTACTTGACGTAACACGTTTTGGTCCTATAAATAAATGTGGGACAGTCACTAATCAAGATGTCGGTGATGGTTTGTTACAATGATCTCAAGACAAGAACTTTAGAATTGCCCAGTCTGCATTTTGTATAAAAAAATTTAAATGCCGCCCAGCGCTGACCGCCCCTTTTTGCCCCCCTTTCTTACAAGACTGCATTTCAGGCTCGTTACCGCTCTGAAAACATTAAGTTGAGTCATCAAGCCATGAGCTCCCAATTACATTCTGCCAATAATAGAAACGTACACATTTTGAAAAGAAAAATGTTTAACCAATCAATGAAATAGAAGAGTAACAATGTGTTCCCTTATCAATGTATTTCTTTAGGCGTCAGCGCTGATGATCATACCGTGGAAGTTGTTGAAAACTGCCAGGCGGCGATTGACAAGTGCAGCAAAATTGCAACAACGGACGACGAGATTGTGTAAGCGCTACTTATCTATTTTTTTTTGGTAATTTCCCCGCATGAAATTAGTGTTGGTCCCAAGAACGTTTAGTATCAATAGCTTAAGGTAGATCTACATCTTAAACACATATAGGAGTAAGAAACAGGGGGGGGGGGAGAAGAAGTTAGAGGAGTTTCGATCCACCTGTGGAAGAATTCATTCTCGTTTTATCAGCGAGACATATTTTCGGCGGATTCTGAGGGTGTTAACAGGGGCTATGTCGCTAATGCAAGCTCGGCTAATGCATGCTTGGCAAATGCATGCTCTCCTAATGCAAGCTTTATCGAAATGCCAAAATACATTTAATGCATACGAATATTTGGCAAACAAACACAAATCACATAGACCAGGGCTCGCGAACCTTTTTGTCTGAGAGAGCCATGGACACCACATATTTTAAAAAAGTAATTCTGTGAGAGCCATACATTATGTTTAAAAGTAAAAATTCAAGTAAATGTGTGCATTTTGTCTAATTTCAGCACTAAAAATGCACTAATTATGTCTCTGAATTCTTTTTAATGAAATGCTGTTTCTAATCAATAATGAGTATTTCTTACCATTGATGCGACTATTTTTTTATAATCGAACGTTTGTCTGCGAGCCAGATGCAGCCATCAATAGAGCCACATCTGGCTCGCAATTCATAGGTTCCCGACCCCTGATATAGACAGATACTTATTTTTCAGAAAAAAACAAGATGAAATAGCTACATGCTTCTCGAGCTTCATCTGCAAAGACAGCAACGACGAGTCTAGGATGAAAACCTTGTTGGCTTATGGAGTCAGAATCGCCAGTAAGCACTTCTTCTTTTTTTAATAATTGTTTCCTAAAAATTTGCTAAGAGCTTTGTCGATGGTTTAAGTTAGGTCTTTTTAATGACTTGCAGCTTTATTTCAATGTCCGTGCCATTGACATAGATTTATTATCTAACTGGTCGGTCTTTGCTCTTCACCTGTGCACTATATAAAGCTCAAAGTTCTACGTCTTCCGTTTTATGCAGCGATGGTAGGCCTTTGCTTATCTGCACTTACGAAACACCGTATGAGACAGAAAGAAGAGAGGAAGAGAGATAGAGAGCTTCGACGTACTAAGCGTCACGTACCTTCGTTTGTTGACTTATCACTAGAACTTTTAAGGCGTTAAATTTTTACTATCTTCATTAAAAAAAACGCTCTTTATGTTAAACTTGAGAACATGATTCTCCCGCCTTTAGTATTGTTTAACGTAGGGCGATGGTAAGGAGTCCTTTTTTGTTCTCCTGGTTGATAACAGTTCTAGGTGTGGTTCAATTTATCAAAGTATTTACTGCTGTTCAATTTTAGTATTTTTTAGTCAGTTCAGCTTAAAGTTCAAATAAATGTTAGTTTGACCAAAGAAGGAAATATAATTGATTTATTCGATCGCAAGTTTAGACTTTAACAAAAAAATCAGTTTATGTAAAAATGCAATATGTAAATTGTGTTTAAAAATTTTTTTCAGACGCAGAGTCCTTAAATTTGGCATTGACCATCAGCGTTTTCTACACGCCATTGATCCTCAGTACTGTCACAGCATTTGTCTTAGCTTAGATATTAATTATCCTTGAACCAACCATAAAGTGTACTCTCATAGTACGCTGTAACAAATAAATATTACAAAAAAAAAAAAAGTTTAACAGACAAGTGGTGAAAAATTTCTTAGAACTTGTCTTTTAAAAAGTTTTTTTTTTAAAAAGCAATAAAAAATTAACGAATGACGGTAGAAGAACACGTTAAAAAAACATAATTGCTAAATAGTTTTAGAACCCCTGTCATAATTGTGTCCTTGACTGAAAAATTAAAACCTTAAAATAAAAATTACTGATTATTATAGATTTATGTAATCACAAATAAATTTTATTCTGAATAAGAAGAGAACAGAGTAAAATCCTTTGGCGATTAAGGAGTACTAAAGGCAATAAAAAAAATTTTCAAAATTAAAATATATTTTAGCACTACATTGCCAATTAGAGGAAAATGTAATGTTCTTTTGCTCCAAAATGAAATATGTCAAATATTTACATGATAAGAATCAAGACAGTGTATTTTTGAAAATGTATTTTCTCTTTGTAACATCCTGTGTTTATATTTGAGAAGATATTAAATTCCGTATATCAAATAAAACTTAATGAAAACTACCATCAAAGTTAAAAAAAAAATGTTATTCTAATTTATTGTTTCTGTTTTCTTTTTAACTGACCAACTTTCTGTTACCCTAATTTTAATTATTCAGATAAATCGTTTATTATTTTAAAGAAAAACTTTCGATGCATCCATCATGTGCCCACCAATCATCCTGACTTGCCATCCTAAAATAGCAGGCCCCTTAGCCCCTTAATATCAGAGTCAGAGATAAGCCTCACAAGGGCTTGCTAGGCTGTGTTACGTGCACCCTAAAAGTTCAGAGACAACCTCACAAGAGTTGGACCAACTGTTTTATGTCCATTCTAAAATGTCGGAGACAACCTCACAAGAGCTGGACCAACTGTTTTATGTCCATTCTAAAATGTCGGAGACAACCTCACAAGAGCTGGAACAACTGTTTTATGTCCATTCTAAAATGTCGGAGACAACCTCACAAGAGCTGGAACAACTGTTTTATGTCCATTCTAAAATGTCGGAGACAACCTCACAAGAGCTGGACCAACTGTTTTATGTCCATTCTAAAATGTCGGAGACAACCTCACAAGAGCTGGAACAACTGTTTTATGTCCATTCTAAAATGTCGGAGACAACCTCACAAAATCAATAACTTGGTATTTGATCAAATTCTTATTTTGTAAAAATAAAAATAATAAAATGAAAAAGAAGAAAAATAAATGGTGCAATCACGTACATTAAATAAAATATATATATATATGATTGTACGAGCTTATGTTAGTGGTTCGAGCTTTTATAAATACATTAATTTGCACGGGGGATTTACATTGGGTCAAGGCGAAACAAGAAGTTAAAATAGTTAAGTGTAGGGTGGCAGTTTCCAATTAAAGTGAACGCGACGTCCAAGATATGTTGGAAGTAGGTGGTGCGTGACTTTAACAATCGTTAAATTTTAGGGCAGGATTTTACACGAAAAGTAAGTAGGACAACACTTTCCAAAAGAAGTAATTGTGAGGGGATGTCACGATACAATTACGTTGGGCAGGAATTTACACTAAAATAAGTTTGGAGGGTATTTATAAAAGTAAATCTTGTTGTTTTTCGTCCGTCAACATCAAGAAGAACCACACAGTAACCAGTTAGGGGCAAGGGTTGGCTTACGACGAGGTCACGTGGAACATTTTCCGTCTGCCAGTTGAACTTGAATAGATGCAATATCTTACCCGTCAGTGCTTGTCGACCCTCTTTGTAGATTTTGGCAGGAATAATTTCGGAGCCAGGTGATTTGTCACTGGACATTTGGCGGATAGCTGCCTTATCTCGGCCAAAGTTGAGACAGCGTCCATTGATTTGTTGTTGGGAACTGATGCAGTCTTTCAATTGCTCATAATTAATGATGGAAGGAGTATTGAGCACACTATCAAAGTGTTCCGACCATTTTTTCCAAGATTTTCTCCATGCCTGTGATGAGCGTAGAACCATCTGCACTAAGAGAGGGGAAGAGCCTGAGGTTATAACGCCTTATATTTTTCTACGGCAAATGTACTTTTTCATGTCTTTCTTGTCTGCAAAGCCCTGAATCTCATCGGCTTTCGCACTCAGACAGTAGTCGTGCATCTGGCGCAGTTGCTACTGGATCTTACTACGCATGCTCCTCAGTGCAGCTGTCTTTGCTGTTGACATTGGGTCATTGCTGAGAGCCTTGTAAGCCCGATAGTTTTTGCTCAAGTAGCATTTCGATCGCTGAGTTGTTTCCTTCAAACCATCACCTCTGTTTCCTGGTAGAGGGTCCGAGATGCTCAGTCGCTGTTCTATACACCGTCTCACGAAGTGTTGCCCATGCTTTTTCCGCGTCCTGGTTGTCTAGTGTGATTGTATTAAGTCGTTCATTCAGGGTGTCAACAAATGATATTCAGCTTACTGATGTTGAGGCGTTTCGGAGCTTTGGTGGCCTGCGGTCTTCACTTAGGTTGGCTATGCAGTTTTATAATTGAAACAAACAGACGGCTGTCCGTCCAACATTATGCACCGCACATGGCCTCATTCAGCCTCACGTCGTTCCGGTCCCTCTTTCTGACGATGACAAATCTATTAGATGCCTTATGTACTCATGACGCCTTATGTACCCACTAGACATGCTTCGCAGATCCGATAGTGGCAAAATATCGTTTCCGTGTATTCGCCTTGATACTTGCGGAAACCGCACTTTCGCATTTGCCGCCCAACAATTTGGAACGCCCTTCCAGTCGCTCTCAGCCAGACACTGGAGTCCTTTAAAAACGATTTAAAAATGCATCTATTTCGCAAACAACTTCTGTGGTGATGCTATCTACCATCTTTTTCCAGTTATTGTATATTGGCTTCTGTTGCTTATGGTTGAAATGGGATGTCAGACTTTGACTTGGTATGCTCGCATGTAGATTTATATTGTTGCGTCTGTTTTTAAATGTGGTAAATTTTAGATTGTTTTTTTATTTCTCTTTATAATTTGGTTGACTTTGTACAGCGCTTCGAGCTTTTGGGTATGAAGCGTATTTTTCAAATAAACTTTACTATTAGTATTATTATTATTACATGCCAATGTTCTGAACGGGGTGCGTCCATGTGGTGCTGTTGCGCGAAAGGAGACTTAAGGCGGTGTTTTTATTAGAATGCCGAGTTCAGCACAGGTCTAAAGAAGCAGTATGCCTGTTCCTGTTGCACTTTCCAACATCATACTTCTCCGTCATTTTCCCCATGAGGCGTAGTCATTGCCGAAACGTGTATTGAAATCTGAAAGAATGATGCCGTTGTCAAAAGTTTTTTGTAAGAGATGGCAGTGTTCAGGTTATCATAAAACGTATCAAAAAACGTATCAATGATCTCTTCTGTGTTTGTCATGTTTGATGCATAGTCACAGACTAAGGTGTCAATCCTTTTTCCATGGCATATTGGGGGGGGGGGGGGGGTGTCACCCTACATAAGAAAGAAATCCAGCAAGCTCTGTGAGTTCACCTTCACCAGAGAGTCTGCTTTCACAGAGCGTGGCAATGTCTATGTTGTATCTGGCAATTTCATTGCCAATGAGTGCCGCTCGTTGTTGAGTGCGGTCTGTTCCTGCGTGCGGATGTGCTATGTGGCAAAATTTAGTGAAACAAATTTATTCTTCGTTTTTCGCCCGGAAAATTGAGTCCCCGTCGACGTCAGTTAGCTGGCTAGGGTGTGAATGAGCGGGCAAAGTTTAGGGCACATTTTCTAGCCTCTTCCTCGTGCATGGAGGTGAGCAGTGCTGTCCTATATAGGGCTGCTCGGGAACTCCGGTGGCTACACTTCTGCTCCAATCAGTGAAGAGCGATCCTATAGCCTGAGTCGTGTATGTGCAGGCTTTAGGCTACGACTACCTTTGCGACACACGACCTGTCTTTTCGTCGCTCACTGGTCGACAAATGTCTTGGTATGATGGGAGTTGGTTGACTGTTGTAAATTTTAAGAAAAGGTAAATAGCACCATTGCAATATCTAATAGAGATAGGGAGAAAAAGAATGATATCGTACATACAAATTATATTGATCATTAATTCAAATAATTTTTAGGATAAAATAATGACGCTATTTTTTAAAATCATTAATTTATTTTGTGTACTACGTCATTTCCACTCCTTTCTTTCATCTATCTTTTTTGTTCCAAGTGAACACATCAGCTAAGTTTATACAGGACTTCAAATGTATTTTTTAAAACCAGGTAGAAAGTCTGTAATAGCTACTTAAGCCGCTACTTATTTTTAACCTTAACCCGTTCAAAATTTACAGTTATCTTATATTAAAAAGACATATCCTAGTTTCAGTATGCAAGCTTCAAAATTTTGATTGATAAGTGCACCAAGCATGTGATGAATAACCTAAATTAAAAACTAAAAATATTAACCCAAACCTTGCCTTTGTTCAATGGGGTTATGGCAGGAGAAGATCTTGAAACATTGTGTACGTATATTAATTGGTCGCCGTTTAGTTAATTTTAGTCACTTCATTATAATAACAAGATAAATTTTAAGATGTAAACATTTTAGAATCGTTTACAAATAAAGGAATCCATGTTTTTATATAGAAAAATAAGAAGGGAATGTCTGCTTATTTTTTTCAAGTCAGCGATATGATTAGAAAGTCTACAATTGGTAAAAAAAAAATTAATTTAAATTTAAACTATTCAAATAATTACTTACACCGAATTTTTAATGTACTGTTACAATCCTACAATGCACATTGCTCCATAATTTTATAACATGGGACAACAATGCTCCGTTTAAACAGAAAATCTAATTTTGTCTCCTCTTGAGGCGTGTCCATCCAGGTGTGACCAGCATTGGTGAGCAACATCCTTCCCATTCGCTGCTACAAAATGTTATCTAACGCCGTGGCATTTTATGGATGCATGGCTCTGGTTTTTATTTGGGGTAAGTCTTATTTTAATTTTTCTCTTTGTCAACTCAGTAACTTCTTAGATACATACTCTGGTTCTTAGCAGCATATCTTAATCTGTCAAGGGTCTCTGCGCACGATATTGTAGTGAAAACAGTAACGCGATTTTGTATTTATTTATTTATTTTTTTTTATGAAAGAAAATAAAATTAACTTATCTATAGTTTTGAACGAATGGAAAAAAAAACAACTTTAGTGAGCATTGAGTGGGTAAGGGAACAAATCCAGGGAAAACTTAAAGTTACTTGCCAGCTAACCAAAGTAAACTTACGTTTTCAAGTAAATTTGTTGCGCTAAAAATAATTTTTAACTGCACCTTCTTTCAAGAGAATAACACTGAGAGCTGAATTTTCGTCGTAGAGGAGAAACTGTGACTCCGGGTATAGCTTTTCGCCATAGAGGAGAAACTGTGACTCTGGGTATAGCTTTTCGTTAGAGCAGCACGCGTAGACATCTTTTCCACAACCAAAAATTGTTCAAGCAATGCTAATTCTTTAGGTAGGACATCCTGGGGAAAAAGGTAGAAAATAAGTTACCACCGCTTACACCCCCGAGCATCGTCTTTTTACTTGATATAGAAAGCTTTTGTCCCAGAAAGAAATGTGGGACGATAACCAATCAAGATTTCAGCGATGGTTTGTTTGAATGATTCGTCTGGTCTTACCTTGAATCTTAAGACAAGAACTTTTACAAATGGCTATTCTGCATCTTATAAAATAACAGTAAAATGCCACCAGGGGCTCACCCCCACTTCCCCCCACCCCCTTCCCTCTCTTACAAGACCACAAGACTGCAATAATTCAGGCCAGTTACTGCTTTGAAATATTAAAACAAGTAACCATTCAACGGGCTCCATATTACGTCTTGGCCGTCATTGAAACTTCGACAGTTCGAAATAAAGATGTGAGACCAATACATTAAATAGTAGAATGACCCTTTTTTTCGTTATCAATGTATTTCTTTAGGTGTCAACACTTTTGTACACACCCTGGAAACTGTTGAAAACTGCCTGGAGAGAATTGAAGAGTGCAAGAAAATTGCAACAACGGATGAGGAGATGGTGTAAGGGAATCATATTTTTTTAAAAAAAACTTTTGCCCTATCTAATCAAGTTTCAACCTCAAGAACTTTTAGTATTGTGTACTTTAATATATATCTTAAATGAAATAGTGTAGGAAGGAGAAGAAGGTAGAGTGGGCGCGATCCGCCTGCGGCAATATCTTATTCTGTTTGTAGTAAGGGGGGAGCATATTTTCGGCTGGTCTGCAGTGATGTTAAAAAAAATGGGGGGGGGGGGGGGGGGATTAGCTAAGTTAACTCAAAACAGATAATAAAAATTTTATGAGAGGTTTTTTTTTTTCAGAAAAAGACAAATGGATCTAGCTGAATGCTTTACGAGGTTCATGTGCAAGGACAGTGAAGACGATGCAAGAATAAGAGAAATGTTGGATTTAGGACGCAGGATTTCCAGTATGCATTTCTTCTGTTATAATGTTTGTTTTACTGAGAGCTATTGGATGGTTAGAGTTAAGACCTTTTAAACTGCTTTCTTCTTTACGTCAATGTTTATGCCATTGGCATCGCTCTATTCTCATAACTCATCAGTCTTTGCTCTTCACTTGGGCAATGATGCACAGCTCTCTGCACTCTGTCATCTGAGAAGAGAAAGAGAGAGGGAGAGAGAGTGGCAGAGAGACAGAGAGAAAATGCTTAGACTAAATGAGCTTTACATACGCATGGGTGCCTACTTATCACGAGTACATTTCGTGGGTTAAGTTTTTCCACTGACTTCATCCATTAAGTGGGACGTTCAAGCCAGGCGCATTGTGTTAAAATTGTGAACATGATTCTCAGACATTCCGTATCGCTCAGCATGATTAAAGTCCAGATTATTTTTTTTTCTTTTTGATTTGTAACAACTCACAAAAACTGGCTCACATTGTCAAGCTCTTTACATCTTATATATCTCTGTTCATGTTCAAAGACATTTTATAATAAAAATTGAACTATAGATACTCAAATAAATGATTGTTCAGATAAAATAATTGAAAATATAAAATCTATTGAATAGATCGAAAGTTAGTGAATTTTTTGAAAAAAATTAGTTTATGTAACAAAGACAACATTTAAAATGTGATAAATGTGTTAAAATGTGTTAAAATGTGTTTCAGTGGTGGCAGAAAAGTTCGCGAATCCAGGAATCGACCCTAGGCCCTCAAGTTTGGCATTGACCATCAGCAGTTCCTACAAGACATTGGTGATCAGTGCTGTCACAGCGTTACTTATAGCTTCGATCTAAATGAACACTCAACACGCCATAAATGTACTCAAATGGTAAGCTTGAAAAAATGTTTTATTAAAGAAAAGAAATAACTTCATCAAGATGAGGGGAACAAGGCTTATATCCTGTCTTTTTAAAGAGGTTTAAGGAAAGCAATTAGACATTTCGAGATGACTGATTCAGAACAAGCTTAAATATCATAATTGGGAAGTATATTTTAGGACCCACTTTTTATTTTCATTAGCTAAACATTAAAACTTTAAAATAAAATGTATTGATTGATTTAGTTAATCATAAATGAAAATTATATTAATATAAATACGAAATGTTTTTTTAAAAAAAGTAAAATGCTTCGGCGATTAAAGAGAATTTAAAAGAAATAAATTATAGTAATATTACAATTTAAAATACATTTTATCATTACTAAGCCATTAGAGGTAGAGTAAAATATAAATTGTTCTTTTTGACTTATGAAAATGTTGTTAGAGATTTCTTTTGAAACAAGTAGGCCAATGTATTTTAAAATAAAAACATGCTGTATTCATTTAAGAAGATATCAAATGTCTTGTAACAACTAAAAGTGAAATAAAGTTGAACACATATTTTAGTCTAATTTATTGTTTATTTATTTGTTTGATTGTTTTTTGTTTAACCAATTCTCTGTAACGTTGAATCGTACAGTTAAATCTGTTTGTTTTTTTACGAGTATTGGTTCGGTGCCAACATAATGACCTTTAATCAAACTGCATTGCCATCTTACGGTGGTAGGCACTCCAAGAGTCGGTGCTCCAGAGAGTAACGTCACACGAGCTGGGCCAACTGTGTTATCTGCACTCTAATGGGTCTAAACATAAATGTGCATCACCCATCCCACGAGATGGGGTCGCCAACTTTACCTCCATGCGACGTCTAACCAGAAGGGAAAAAAAATGAAGTGGATCAACTTCAGCTTCATTGCCAATGATTAACCTCTTCTTTTTTTTTCAATGTATGCATTGAAATTTTTGTATTAAATACTTTTCTTAATTTTTATAGAAATTTTACTAAGTTTTATTCAAGTACCTTCTTTCAGGTTACATGGATGTTATTGGCAGATATCATGGGCTTTAAACAAAATATAAAACAAATAGGATCGAATAAATGTTGGTGATCAACTTTTGCTTTAGGACCGTGTAGCAGTGCTAAATGTTAGATGAAATTTAAGTGCATGTCATACAAGATAATATAATTAAATTATATAAATTTATAATGTAGGCGTAATGTCAATTTAATGTTTCCAATCAGGGCGAGTTTCATAAATGTTGGTTTTTTTGGCCTTCATTGCGTTAATTTTCGCTGTCTTAGTCTAAGCTATGACTACATTACTAAATACTATATGGAAATAGTTAATATTATTTAATATAAGTGTTGCGCATGTGAAGGCAAAATTATCATTTACCTTCTCAGGGTAAATTTTCTGAGCATTTCATCTAGTGATATTTCAATTATCCCAAGTTTTGTAGGTTTTAAAAATGTTTTGTTTTTTTTCAAAGGTGTGAGAAAAGTCCACATGTAATGTTTTCAAACATTTTAGTAGTAGTTCATTTTATTTAAAGGTTTTCATTTTGATAAAGCAGCTGTAGATACATGTAAAAAAAAACCAAACAAACAAACAACAATAATGCTACGACTGGTTATCGCATTCAACAACTTAGTATTGGATCAAATTCTCATTTTGTCAAGGAAAGAAACAACCAACAAAAATAGTGCGATAACACAGAAATTTCACAAATATTTTATTGTGTGAACTGAGCTCAAATGGAACTGGAATGCTTCTTCTTCTTCTATACATTGAGATCCAATGATCCAATTATTGATCGTTTTGGCTCCTATGCATGTACAGGTGATTTGCAATATTTCTGTGCCTGGTGTTGATGAGGATATTTCACTGGTTGCAAGGACTACTTTGTGAGGGTGTCATGCATTGGGGGCTGGAAGTCCTGAGGCAATAGACGCAAATTAGGCAGGAAAGAGCCATTCCTATACTGGCTTTTCGCTGGTATGAGCCGGAACTGCCTGTCACGGCCTCGTCGCTGTCTAGGAGGGAGAGGGACCATTGTCTATTTAATTTACTATATCAATAAGGTATGAAGGATTTATGGGGTCATATTGCGTGGATGATTTATGTGAGTGTGAATGAGACAATATGTTACGATAAAAGCATGTGGTATAGCGATTTCCTGTTGAAGTATAGGGGACGTAAATCTATAATAGAAAGAGGGGATGCATGACTTTACAATGGAATGTATACGATTTTACATTAGAAGTGAGTAGGCAATGCTTAACAAAAGAAGTAATTGGGATGGGATTTCACAGTAGAATATTGTTGGGTCAGCGGGGTATCATCAATGATGTTTATCTCTCAAATGCGTGAGAAATATGATAATGTTGCGTATTCAAAGACTGAATTCTAGTTTAATTTATTTTACAGGCTTCCATTTTGCTGTCGTGTCTTGTCAAAAAAGGGTAATGAGTCGATTGGTTTTTCGCATCCAACAATTGTTTAGTCGTTCATCAAAGTCTCATCCTGTCCATAAAAAGGGAGGGGGGGGGGAGCGACACAAGAAAATGATGCTATCACACACAAGTTTAACACATTTTTGATTGTGTGAACTGAGCTTAAGTGGGAAGAGGAATTCACCATAGAAATGAGTGGTTGGGGATCTTATAATGGGATAATGTCGTACGGGGATTATGTTGAATTTGTACGGAATTATGTAAGGGGTAGGATTTGACATTACAAGTAAGTAGGGCACTAATTTCTTTTTAAAAAATGAAGTAATTTGGATGGGAAAAAAAGAATATAATTAAGTGGGGCAGCACATTACAAACGACCGATTCGCCGCTTTTGCCTCCTGCCTTCGAGCCCTCAGTTCCAGATACCCTTACTGAGTAGTGAAAAATCCTCTTCAATACCAGGCACATTAACATCGCGAACCTCCTCTACATGCATATGAGCCAGAAACATCAATGCATTGGTCGTTGGCCCTCAAGATATTCAAAAATAATAAGAAGAAGTAAGTGGGAGCGGTAATTAAAAAAAGTAAATGGTAGGAAAAAATACCTTTGTAATATGTGCTTAGCTAAAATTTGTTTAAATTAAAAAGGTATTCAAGAAATGTATTATATTAAAGAATGTATATATGTCAATGTATATATATATATATATATATACACACACAAAAAATAGATAAATGGATAAACATATATGGTGTATAAAAACATTATAGCTGAATAGTTCAAATAATTTTAAAGACAATAATGATGACGCAAAAACATGTGCTTTAATTTTGTTTTGTGTACTATGTCATTTCCGTACCTTTCTAACCTCCATTTTTTTTTGACGCACGAAAACATCATCTAAACTTTGGTACAGAACTTTAAAATTATTTATTTTAAAACAAGCTTGGAATAATAGTATGATATCTTACTTTAAACATGTTGATTTTTAAAGGGACAGACACGAGTCTAAGTAAACTTGCTTCAACATTTTTGTGTGATCGTACACCAGTTCTTGGATGATTTACTCAAATCATAACATAAAAACCCGTGGTTCCCGCGACCGCCATCATCGTTGCCACGCCTAGTAAACAAAGGAGAGTGAATCCAGCACAGAACGTTCCATCCAGACGTCAAAGACGTCATTTCGCGAATCGTATGAAGTGACCAAAGGTAAACGTTCACCTTGACCAATTACAACACGGCCACAGTTATGGCAGTATTGCTTTTTTACGCCTTTCGCATGCAAACATCAAGGTATATTCCACAGTGACTACGCAGATGAACTTACAGTACAATTTGTGCCCGGAAAGCTTTTCCACACGTGGGGCACACGTTGTTTGTTGTTGTTGGAAAAGGGTGGGGGGGGTGGGTTGGTATTAGTTGGAGCGGAGTCAATTACATTGTTTCTTCTCATGCGTTTATTTTTTTCGAGTTAAGCGGCGTGTTTCTTCTGCTAGGATTGTGCGACAATAGTCAGTCATCATATTCAATTCATAGGAAAATGCCTCCTGGGAAGACGGGTCAAATTACATGGTTTTGATTGAATCTTTTTGGACAGCGGTTCAAACAGGAGAGTTCACAGAACGATGCTACAAGATGCTGTCTGGTATTCTCTGCCTATCTGACTTGTGTTTTGGTTGGAGCGTGTGGATGCTGATTTGGGCCTTTGTATCCGGGCCTTAGTCCCCTGCCACATTATTTTTAAGTTTACCGTAAATGGCATATGAGGAGATGGCTATCTGTCTTGCGCGTCTGCTGCACACTGCCCACGACTTGTTTACACCTAACTACGGAGTACTGTGACCTAAATGCATCTATTTGCGTAATTAAAGAACTCGATAGTTTTCTAACAAGCAGTGTGAAGATAAGTTTACACGAACAGACAAACTGGTGCAGATCCGGCTAAAAAAAATAAATATATTAAAAATCTTTAAACATATTGTGTATGGTTATCGATTGGTCATTGTTTACTTACTTGTAGTTGGTAAATAATGATAGCATTATGATCAGGAAAGATTATGAGAAATATTGACACTAGTACAAATGTTAGCATCGTCTGCTGACCTATGTATCAAACCTTTAAAAAAAACATCAGAAGAGAATGTTTGCTTATAACTCCAAAATAATGACATGATGACAGTGTCTCCGATAATAAACACTTTAGATTAAGTTAAAAAAAATATTACAACGATTGCTAACACCAATCTTGTTAATTTAATATTACAACGATTGCTAAAACCAATCTTGTTAATTTAATATTACAACGATTGCTAACACCAATCTTGTTAATTTAATATTACAACGATTGCTAACACCAATCTTGTTAATTTAATATTACAACGATTGCTAACACCAATCTTGTTAATTTAATATTACAACGATTGCTAACACCAATCTTGTTAATTTAATATTACAATCACATGGTCTACATCACTACAAAATGTATAACATGGAAATATACATGTTCTGTTTAAACAGGTAATCTAAATGTGTTGCGCTGAAGGCGTGTCCTCCTAGAAGGGTCCGGTTTTGTTGAGTAACATCCTTCACATTCGCTGCTACAAGATGCTACCTGATGCCGTGATATTTTATGGACTGATGGCTCTGATATGTATCGTGGGTAAGTCTCTGTGTTCAATTTCATTTAGCCAAGGTATGCAAACCTTTTATAAGCAAATACCTTATTCTCTCCATCAATACAGATGCATACGGGGAGGACTGTGTTCAAGTTGAAGCAATGAAAATCATACACGGTGTAGAAGAGAACCCGTCTCGTCCATCTTAAGATCTAACTCTTCTCTGTATAATATCTTATCATAACAGATACTTGTCTATAAGTCAATCCACGCGTTGTTGTCTAAGAGTATATTTGTCAAAAAAATGTTGTGCTCATCCGATGGAAATGGTTAATTTCATGTAATACATTCGTGATCACCCAGACAAAAAGAAACAGGAAATTATTTCTTCAGAGCTTTTCAAGAACCAATCGTTATCGATGACACCGTATGTAAAAGTCAACAAGGTTGCATTGTTATAACTTTTTTTTTCTTCAAAATAATAAAAATAAAATTAAATTTCTTTCTGGCCAAATATGCCCGGGACCACATAAATAAATATATCGAGATCAAATGAAAATGGAGCAGTGGCAAGCGTCATATGAAGTCCAAGTGGACGTGATCTAGTATCTTCTAGCTTCACCTTAGAGAAATCCTTCAAGTCCGAGTTGACGTGATAGTGTATCTTCTAGCTTCACATCAGCAGAGTCCTCCAAGTCCAAGATGACGTGATGGAGTATCTTCTAGCTTCACCTAAGAGAATCCCTACATTTCCAAGTTGACAAGATGGTGTATGTTTCTAGGTGCATATTCTGGATCTCAGCAATATCTGATAGTGTGGGGTTTCTGCTTTTAAAAACAGTGGCAACGAGACTTTTTTCTTAACATTGGAGCAAAAATTAAGAAACTTATCTGACATTTTCCTTAAATTAAAAAAAAAAAAGACAAAATTATAGTGAACCTTGAAGAGGTGTAAGGAACAATTCCAAAAATAATTGGAGTTACTTGCAACCTTACCAAAGTACACTTAACTTAAATATGTTTCATATAAAAAATAAGTCTTAATATAGTTTGTTTTTTTCTCAATACATTTATTTAGGTGTCCACACGGATGTAGAAGACGCGCAGATTGTTGAAAACTGCCAGGAGAGAATTGACGAGTGCAGGAAGATTGAAATAACGGAAAACGAGATTGTGTAAGACAAGCGTATTTATTAATGAACTTTCGCCCAGGTTATCAGGCATTAATCTCAAGAGCTTTAAGTATTTTGTACTTTAATAGATTAGTTGTAAGCAGTGAACGTAGAAGGGTTAAGAAGTTATCAGGCAGTAATTTAAAGAAATTAAAGAACTTTTTTACTATAATAGATTACAGTTGGCAGTGTCATAGGAAGGTGAAGGTTACAAAGGAAGCACTACCCGTCCCTGGCGGGAATGTTTTCTTTGTATACGGTTCTATATGTTAGGACAATTGCAGAGCTTCAGGGGGGAGAGGGTTCTACCCCCAAGCTAACCAAGTGCATGATTTTTTTTTTTTTGATTTTCGCAATAAATGTAATACTATTGAACGAGTACGTCCTTTGGTTTGTATGAGAATATTTGCCAACCCAACTCAAAACAAATAATCAATGACTTGTTAAATAATCAATGACTTGTTGTTGGGGCTTTTTTCAGAGAAAACGGAAAGGCAGCAGTGATGTGCTTTATGGCCTTTGTATGCAAGCCTGAGGAAGATGAACTTAGGATGAATGCTTTGATGGCATTTGGAGGAAAGATTGCTAGTAATTACATGTATTAGTATCAATTGTTCTTTACAAATTTAACGAGAGCTAAACGATAGTTAGAATATAGAACTTGGACATTGCGTCCAGCTCTACTATAAACGTTCACAAACATTGTCATTCATGTAAGCTTCTAACTCATCAGTCGGTGCTCGTCACCAGGAGAAGGTGCTCGGGTTTCTGGTCTTATTAAGTAGACAGTGAGACTTTTATGATGATAATAATAATAATAATAAATTTCATTTCAAAAACACGCTTCATCCCCAAAGGCTCGAAGCGCGGTACAAAGTCAACAAAAAAACATATTTATAATTAACCACATTTAAAACAAACGCAACACTACAAAAACTAATTACAAGCATACAATCTCAAAGTATTTCTAGCCATTTCAACCCGGAGCAACACAGCCATTATGCATTAACTGGAAAATAAGGTAGACAATCATCCTAGAAGGTATTTGCGAAATAGATGTGTCTTTAGATCGGTTTTAAAGATACCGGGTAATGCAACGCTGGCATGGCTCTGCTTGTCTGTACTTTTGAAACACAGTATAAACCAAGTTAGTGAGGGAAAGAGAGAGAGAGAGAGAGAGAGAGTCCATAGACGAATGAAACGGGACAACGCCTGGTTGCTGCCTCATAACGCGAACTTTTCGTGCGTTAAACTTCACCGACTTAATTCACATGAGGGGTAACGTTTAGGCCTGGCTCTTCTTGTTGAACTTCAGACAATGATTCTAACACCTTTGGTATCGGTACACGTTTTTTATAGCAAGGACTACCTTTCTTTTTGTTTTTTCGCCCGAATCGAAGCTGATCTAAATATGGTTCGGTTTCTAAAAGTATTTACAAACTTTATTTAGCCTGAGTTGTTACTCTTTTTCATCTTGAAAAAAATGAACTACAATGTTCAAATAACAATGGTTCCGATTAAATCAATGAAATATAATCCAGGTATTAAATTTAAAGCTTAGATAAAACACAAAAAATCCTTGTGTCATTGTGCTTAAAGCTAAATGACAAAAAAATAGACATGAAATTGATTTAAAATATGTTTCAGATTCACAAATGGGCCCGTCTATTCCTGAAACATGGAATAAGGAGGAGTTCGGCCCATATCCCGGCGTCACCTACAAGCCCACCAACATGGCAGTGATCATCAGCTTTTCCTACAAAACATTGGTCGCCAGCGCTGTAACAATGTTCCTCTTAGCTTAGATCTGAAAGAACAAGGAACACGGGAAAAAAGCAATAATACACTCAAATGTTAAGCTGTTATTTCAACTGATGAGAGAGCAGTAAAATTGTATAGACGTCTGAGGAAACAGTAAGATAACTTTTGGTAGAATTTCAAGAACGCTATTGAATAATAGCAAAATAGTTGAATAAGAACAAAATTTAATTTCATAATTGTAAAAATATATGTATTTTCATTAAAAAACATTGGAAACTTTAAAAAAAAAGGTTATTGAAATATTTCTATTTAATCATCCCAAATAAAAGGTATTATCAATAGGAATAGAATAGAAATACAATTTTTATCTTCTTGGATCAATTAGTAGATGAAAGAAAGGAAATGAATTTTTTATTCTAAATCAAATACTTAAAAGCATTACATAAATATTACAGACAAATGTAAATATCTATTTTTATACATATATAATTTTTTTTTGTCATTAAACATTTTCAGAGAATTAATTTTAATATTTATTTTGAAAATAACTTTAACTCTCTGCAAACAATTTTGTGTTTATTTAAGAAAACATGAAATTTCTTACGACAAACAAAAGGGATAGAAAACGTGCACTCAAAGTAAAAACCTTATTCGAAATAATTATTAAATTTCTTTTTTTTTTGTTGTTTTGTTATGTTTGGTTGTTAATTAAAAAATTTTCTCTAAAATTATATACTGCTGATACAAGGTTGTTTTTTTGTTGTTTTTTTTGCACAACAAGAGTTTTAAGCTGGCATAATGCCCGCCCATCAAACTTTAATGCCATCCTACAATAGCAGGCCCTCCAGTGTCAGGACCAGAGACAGACGACACATCAGCTTGATCAACTGATGGTGCACGTTGCAAATCCACAACTCAATAAAAAAAGTTTAGGACTACATAGCCACTCCATCGTCTCGCGAAGACTGAAGGATGCATTTACATCTATATTTAGAACATATCAAAAGAAAATATTACGCACCAAACTTAGTTGCGATTTTTTATTTGTTGAGAATACATTTAGTGCAGTTATCGGGAATTTTATCTAAATGAAATTTGTATCCAATAATAAGCGTCTAGCCATTCTTTCTGTTAAATGCAGTATGCATAAATTTTAGTTCGCAAAACCAAGTTAGCAAAGGTTGTCATTTTGTAGTTAATACAAAAGGTGCAATGGTTCTCCTTTGTATTTAAATAATAGAAAGTAGTAAATATAAATAAAGCGAGTGTTCCAAAAATTTTAGCTTATTAAATACAACTGGTACTGTTTTGCATGAAGGTTCTCATTGCTATTTAATGAAATATTAGTAAAGATTATCCTGTTATAGTCAATAAAAGATGTAATAATGGTTCTCATGCTATAGCTAAGAAAATAGATAGTAAAGATGATCCAGAAATATTTACATTATATTTACGCGTTACATAACACTCAAGGATGGGCTCTTAAGTCTTTCAGTAGGAGGTCAACACTAAAAGGTTACACCTCATCGTCTTATGTGAATGGACTGGCGCCGTGCTTAAAACAACGAACCTGAAGTACGTACCGTTCAGAAATACGTTTAATCTGCGACTCTCTTGTCTCCGCTGACCTACATAATATGTTCTATGCCTTCATGAGGGTAATGACAAGTTCTCTAAGTAGTCTAGCTCTCACGGTATCATTCTTAATTCCTTCTACAATTCTGTCCTTTATCAACGACCCTTTTAAGACTTTCGAATTCACACGACTCTGCCTTGAGTTTTAGGTCAGTTAAAATAATCAAACGTTTCTCTCTGTCACTTCGACTTGTTGAAAAAAAACACTTGTATTTAATTGTCACATTCTTCCTCGGTAAACAGTGACACTCAAACTTCTTCAAACGACAGTGAACTGTGAGAAAAGAAGTATAAATGTCACAATCTTCGCATTCTGCGACAGTCAAATTAAACTTATTAGATATTTCAACTGCCTCTTGGCCCATCACTTGCGGTACAGTCATGCTCTGCACCTGCTGTCTCATCGTATCCAGTCCACACTGACTGTCTTGTAAATGCCAAAAGACTGCTTCAGTTTTTCCAATGGACAGCAACATTTCCGTTTAAATCCAGCTGTTGTGGCGTGTGGTCTCACCACGCCCAGTAACACCAGACGACGACAACACAGGCCAATCAAATCACAAAGTTCACTTACTACTGACAATAAAAATCTTTATGGATATATAGTATCACAATGGAAAACTTATCAATTAGATTGCCAGGGCCAATTTTCTGAACAATCCTGGTAGTAAAAATATAATTTTTACAAATGTTTTTTTTTCGGGTGGGGTGGGGGTGGGGGGTGGGGAGGGGATATCATAAATGTTATTTATCTTTTAGAAATTATGAGCAATATGACCAAATTTTATTTTCAATTATTTCCGTGTTTAAATTTATTGAAATTGTTTCCATTTTCATCCAACAACTCTAAAATAATTTTAAAAATAGTAATGCGTCAATTGGTTATCACAACCAACAATTAATTGGTCGTTGATGAAATTTTCATTTTGTCATTAAAAGGAACAACACATGAAAATGGTGCAATCACACAAAAATTTTAACAAATCTTTGATTGTGTGAACTGAGCTCAAGTGGGATGGAGATTTGACAATAGAAATGAGTGGTTGGGGATTTTATCATGGAATTATGTTTTCCGGGGAGTTATATGAGTGTAAATGAGACCGTAAGGTTCGACTGTTGGGTGTAGGATAGAATGTTCAAATTAAAACATAATGGACGTAAAAGTCATACTAGAACATAAGAATTAAGGGTCTGGGATAGAATGTTCAAATTAAAACATAATGGACGTAAAAGTCATACTAGAACAATAGAATTAAGGGTGTGGGATAGAATGTTCAAATTAAAACATAATGGACGTAAAAGTCATACTAGAACAATAGAATTAAGGGTGTGGGATAGAATGTTCAAATTAAAACATATGAGGCGTAAAAGTCATACTAGAACAATAGAATTAAGGGTCTGGTATAGAATGTTCAAATTAAAACATAATGGACGTAAAAGTCATACCAGAACAATAGAATTAAGGGTGTGGGATAGAATGTTCAAATTAAAACATATGAGGCGTAAAAGTCATACTAGAACAATAGAATTAAGGGTCTGGTATAGAATGTTCAAATTAAAACATAATGGACGTAAAAGTCATACCAGAACAATAGAATTAAGGGTGTGGGATAGAAAGTTCAAATTAAAACATATGGGACGTAAAAGTCATACTAGAACATAAGAATTAAGGGTCTGGGATAGAATGTTCAAATTAAAACATAATTTACGTAAAAGTCATACTAGAACATAACAATTAAGGGTGTGGGATTGAATGTTCAAATTAAAACATATGGGACGTAAAAGTCATACTAGAACATAAGAATTAAGGGTCTGGGATAGAATTTTCAAATTAAAACATAATTGACGTAAAAGTCATACTAGAACAATAGAATTAAGGGTGTGGGATAGACTGTTCAAATTAAAACATATGGGACGTAAAAGTCATACTAGAACAATAGAATTAAGGGTGTAGGATAGAATGTTCAAATTAAAACATAATGGACGTAAAAGTCATACTAGAACATAAGAATTAAAGGTCTGGGATAGAATGTTTAAATTAAAACATAATGGACGTAAAAGTCATACTAGAACATACGAATTAAGGGTGTGGGATAGAATGTTCAAATTAAAACATATGGGACGTAAAAGTCATACTAGAACAATAGAATTAAGGGTGTGGGATAGAATGTTCAAATTAAAACATAATGGACGTAAAAGTCATACTAGAACAATAGAATTAAGGGTGTAGGATAGAATGTTCAAATTAAAACATAATGGACGTAAAAGTCATACTAGAACATAAGAATTAAGGGTCTGGGATAGAATTTTCAAATTAAAACATAATGGACGTAAAAGTCATACCAGAACAATAGAATTAAGGGTGTAGGATAGAATGTTCAAATTAAAACATAATGGACGTAAAAGTCATACTAGAACAATAGAATTAAGGTTGTAGGATAGAATGTTAAATTAAAACATAATGGACGTAAAAGTCATACTAGAACAATAGAATTAAGGGTCTGGGATAGAATTTTCAAATTAAAACATAATGGACGTAAAAGTCATACCAGAACAATAGAATTAAGGGTGTGGGATAGAAAGTTCAAATTAAAACATATGGGACGTAAAAGTCATACTAGAACATAAGAATTAAGGGTCTGGGATAGAATGTTCAAATTAAAACATAATTTACGTAAAAGTCATACTAGAACATAACAATTAAGGGTGTGGGATTGAATGTTCAAATTAAAACATATGGGACGTAAAAGTCATACTAGAACATAAGAATTAAGGGTCTGGGATAGAATTTTCAAATTAAAACATAATGGACGTAAAAGTCATACTAGAACAATAGAATTAAGGGTGTGGGATAGAATGTTCAAATTAAAACATATCGGACGTAAAAGTCATACTAAAACAATAGAATTAAGGGTGTGGGATAGAATGTTCAAATTAAAACATAATGGACGTAAAAGTCATACTAGAACATAAGAATTAAAGGTCTGGGATAGAATGTTCAAATTAAAACATAATGGACGTAAAAGTCATACCAGAACAATAAAATTAAGGGTGTGGGATAGAAAGTTCAAATTAAAACATATGGGACGTAAAAGTCATAATAGAACATAAGAATTAAGGGTCTGGGATAGAATGTTCAAATTAAAACATAATTTACGTAAAAGTCATACTAGAACATAACAATTAAGGGTGTGGGATTGAATGTTCAAATTAAAACATATGGGACGTAAAAGTCATACTAGAACATAAGAATTAAGGGTCTGGGATAGAATTTTCAAATTAAAACATAATGGACGTAAAAGTCATACTAGAACAATAGAATTAAGGGTGTGGGATAGAATGTTTAAATTAAAACATAATGGACGTAAAAGTCATACTAGAACAATAGAATTACGGGTGTGGGATAGAATGTTCAAATTAAAACATATCGGACGTAAAAGTCATACTAGAACATAAGAATTAAGGGTGTGGGATAAAATGTTCAAATTAAAACATAATGGACGTAAATGTCATACTAAAAGGAATCGGGATGTGAAATCACAATAGAATTAAGGGAGGCAGTACATTACAAACGATCCATTTGGGTCTTTTGCCTCCTGCCTTCCTGTCTTTCGTTCCTGATACCCTCCCTTAGTATCTCTTTGCGACCAGTGAATCGTCCTCTTCAATACAATGCACATAAACATCGCGAACCCCCTCTAAATACATATGAGCTAGAATGATCATTCTTAGCCGAGGCTGAAATTAAAGCGAAAATTAACATTTTGGTTTCGGCCAAAACCGAAATTAGGCCGAAGGTGATGAAATGGCCACTTTCGGTACCGAAACCGAAGTCGAAATTCGGTTGGACTCTAATCATTACATACATTGGTCATTTACCTTTAAGATTAAAATAATAATAAGAAGAAGTATATGGGAAAGTTAGTTACGCTAAAAGAAAACTAGAGATATCCCTCCAAACATTGGCGACAGCAATGCGTGAACTTCCCATCTTGTAAAATTACTTTACAAAATATGAACTAAGGTAACGTACATTTAAGAATCCCAATATTTGCTACACCCCTTCCACCATGATACGTCACTGCACACTTTTTATTTCATGCCCGTGAACTAAAATTAATAGTCTCATGTCCCAACCAATTTGAAACTGATTATTTTTTTACACAATACTTAAATTAAGACGATTTCATTTCCGAAAAGAAAATATTACGCAACAGACGCAATTTTGTTATTATATATATATATATATATATATATATATATATATAAATAATAGATAAATGAATCAATATATATCATGCATATAAAACAATATAGACGAATAATTCAAATAATTTCTAAGGAAATAATAATAATGCAGAAAAAAAATGTTTTCAATTTCGTTGTGTGTACTATGTCATTTCCGTTCAATTCTTACTTCCATCTTTTTGCTACTCAAAGCATCTTTCAAACTTTGATACAGAACTTTATAATTATTTCTTTTAAACCAGGTGGGAATTCTATAATAACAACTTCTTTTGGTCCTTCTTTTTAACCTATTCATTTTTAAAAGGACAGATACCAGTTTAAGTAAACTTGCTTAAACATTTTAATGTGTGATGGTACAGCAGTTCTCTGATAATTAACTAAAAAAAACGTGGTTTCCATGGGCCGCCATCTTCGTTGCCACGACACGTAAGCTAAAGAGAGTTAACCCAGCACAGAAAGTTAAATCAACACGTAAAAGACGTCATGGCGCGAATTTTATGAATCGACCAAAATTTAATTTTCAACTTGACCTTTTACAACACGGCAATGGCGGCCTCCGCATAGAAAAATCATCAAGTCACTGTGTTCTACAGTGTAGATGGTCTTACATTCCTTTTTGTGTTCGGAAAACTTTCCCGCATGTGGGGCACGCATTGTTTTGAGTAGCAGTTGAAGTTTGAGTTGAGACGATTACGTCTTTTTATGCTTTTTTTTTTTTTTTTTTTTTTTTATGAGGCTTGAGTGGTGTGTGCTTCTTCTTCTGTGAGGTTTGTGCTAAAATACCGAGTTTGACACGCCATCTTGTTTCATCCGTAGAAAAAAAGTCTCACATGAAGACCGTTCAACGTTCATTGAAATTGAGTGAAAATTGTATACAGATATTGAAGCTTTTTTTTTTCCTTCCCACTAGCCTAAAGTTTCCAACTTGAGAATTAACAGAAAAAAATAGTCGATCGGGAAGTCTGATGTCTGGAAATCGATCAACATTCATTTTTACGTAGATAGCTTAGGTGGAGATGATTGAATGACTTGCATGTCTGCAGTCTCGTTTGCACATAGTTCGTTTTCGGTTTACCGTGACCTAAATACACATATTATTAGAGAGATTTTAACTCCGGCATGTTAGCATCGTTGAAATACAAGAAGAGAATGTATGCTTATAACTCCAAGATTGTGATGTCATTACAGCGTTTACGATTACTAAACACTTAAAATTAAGCTGAAATTATTTTAACAGTTACGAACACCGGCCTTGTCATTTTTATAGTACAATCACACGGTCTACACCACTCTGAAGCTTTATAAACATGAAGCAAAAATGTTCTGCTTAAACAGGTACTCTAAACTTGGTGAACACCTAGAAGTCTCCTCTTCTGGTGAGCAACAGCCTTCACATTCACTGCTACAAGATGCTACCTAACGCCGTGGTATTTTATGGACTGATGGCTCTGTTATGTATCGTGGGTAAGTCTCTGTGTTAAATTTCATTTAAACAAAGTATAACATCCCTTCATATTTTTATGAGCAAATACCTAATTCTTTTCATCATTAAAGATACATACATGGAGGACTATGTTAAGGTTATGGCAATGAAAATTATACTTTTTGTAAAAGAACATATGTCTCATCCATCTTTAAATCTATATCTTGACTGTATAATATCTTATCACTGTAGATACATGTCTATGAGTCTATTCACGTGTTGTTGTCTAAGAGTATAAAAAAATCTTTATCGATGACACCGCATGTGAAAATATACTAAGTTGAATTATTTTTATTATTTTTATTTTTAAAAAAAATATAGCAATTAAATTTCTTACTTGCCAAATATACACGGGATCATATACATAAATATGTAGAGATCGAATGACCATGAAGCAGTGGCAAGAGGCATATGAATACGTGCGTTTCTATGAAATTTTGGTGGTTTCATCAGTAATATTTGATGTATCTTATGATGAATTCAATCTCTAAGCAATAAACCTCGTAGTAGAGTTAATGTTGTATTCTACTAGCTGCATCTCAGCAAAATCCTCGAAGTCCAGGTTGACGTGATTGTGTAACATCTAGCTTCAACTCAGCGAGGTCATCAAAGCCAGAGTTGACGTGATGGTGTAACATCTAGCTTCAACCCAGTGAGGTCATCAAACTCAGAGTTGAAGTGATGGTGTAATATCTAGCTTCAACTCAGCGAGGTCATCAAAGTCAGAGTTGACGTCATGATGTAACATCTGGCTTCAACTCAGCGAGGTCATCAAAGCCAGAGTTGACGTGATGGTGTAACATCTAGCTTCAACTAAGCGAGGTCATCAAAGCCAGAGTTGACGTGATGGTGTAACATCTAGCTTCAACTCAACGAGGTCATCAAAGTCAGAGTTGAGTTGATGGTGTAACATCTGGCTTCAACTCAGCGAGGTCATCAAAGTCAGAGTTGACGTGATGGTGTAACATCTGGCTTCATCTCAGCGAGGTCATCAAAGCCAGAGTTGACGTGATGGTGTAACATCTAACTTCAACCCAGTGAGGTCATCAAACTCAGAGTTGACGTGATGGTGTAACATCTAGCTTCAACTTAGCGAGGTCATCAAAGTCAGAGTTGACGTCATGGAATAACATCTGGCTTCAACTCAGCGAGGTCATCAAAGTCAGAGTTGACGTGATGGTGTAACATCTAGCTTCAACTCAGCGAGGTAATCAAAGTCAGAGTTGACGTGATGGTGTAACATCTGGCTTCAACTCAGCGAGGTCATCAAAGTCAGAGTTGACGTGATGGTGTAACATCTGGCTTCATCTCAGCGAGGTCATCAAAGCCAGAGCTTACGTGATGGTGTAACATCTAGCTTCAACTCAGCGAGGTCATCAAAGCCAGAGTTGACGTGATGGTGTAACATCTAGCTTCAACTCAGAGAGGTTATCAAAGTCAGAGTTGACTTGATGGTGTAACATCTAGCTTCAACTCAGAGAGGTCATCAAAGTCAGATTTGACTTGATGGTGTAACATCTAGCTTCAACTCAGAGAGGTCATCAAAGCCAGAGTTGACGTGATGGTGTAACATCTAGCTTCAACTCAGAGAGGTCATCAAAGCCAGAGTTGACGTGATGGTGTAAAATCTAGCTTAACCTCTGTGAGGTCATCAAAGCCAGAGTTGACGTGATGGTGTTACATCTAGCTTCAACTAAGAGAGGTCATCAAAGCCAGAGTTGGGGTGATGGTGTATCTTCAAGCTTTACCTCAAAGGACTCTTTCAAGTCCAAGTTGACAAGATGGTGTATGTTTCTAGCTAAATATTCTGGATCTTGGCAATATCTGATAGTGTAAGGTCGATGCTATTAAAAACAGTTGATAAGAGAATTTTTTTTTTTTTAAATGTAAGCTAAAATGAAGAAACCTATCTTCAGGTTTCATTAAATTTAAAAAAGAAAAATCTATAGTGAACCTTGAGTAGGTAAAGGAACAAATCCGAAAATAAGGAGAGTTACTTGCAAACTTACCAAAGTACACTTAACTCTTTTTTAGTAAATATGTTGCATTGTTGTGTTTTTTTTTTTAAATATCAGAAGTAGAAAGTGTTAACCCGACAAAAGATTTCCAGGCAATACTTATTGGTAGAAAGGCTTCAATTTTGTGGAGGAAGATAGAAAATATTAGCCCTTGTATTATACCTTGAGAATTGCCTTCTACTTGATATAATAAGTTTCGGGCATACATTATTTTGATTAGGTCATAAAATATTCCAGATTTGATTGATTGTGTATTTTAATTATGCGTCTTGTCTCTCCTTGAATCTTAATGCAAGGACTTACAGTTTACAGTCTGCATTTATAAGTTGAAATAAATTTTTACAGGCGTGGACTTTCCCTTCGCATCCCTTTTTTTTTACAATCCTAAACTCCAAGCTCGTTACCGATATGAAATATGACGTCAAATAACTATTCGAGGAGCTCCACATTGCGTTCTGGCAACCATTGAATCTTCGACAGTTTGAAATAATGGTTTTACAAACGGTTCATTAAATCTTAGATTGACATGTGTCTTCTATTTTTGTCTTGATCAATCTATTTATTTAGGTGTCAACACTGATACAGAGGGCCCGAAGATTGTTGAAAACTGTCAGGAGAGAACTGGCGCGTGCAGGAAAATTGCAACAAAGGATGATGAGATTGTGTAAGAGAAACGTATTTTTGCTATGAGCTTTCGCCCACGTTATCAAGCATCTATCTCAAGAACTTAAGTATTCTGTTCTTTAATAGATGAGTTGTGTGAATGACGTAGGAAGGCGGAGACGATAGATGAAACAGTATCCACCCATAAAGGGAATGTCTTCTTTGTGTTTGTTGCCCTAGTTTAGGACCATTGCAGAGCTTTCGGGGGAGAGCATCCTATCCACAAGCTAAGAAAATGCATCCTTTTTTAAAACATCTCAATAAATGTAATACTACTGAGCGAGTGCGCCATTCTTTTTGTATGAGAATATCTGCCAACCCAACTCAAAACAAATAATCAATAAATTGTTTGTTGTATTTTTTTTCAGAGAGAAAGAAAAGGAAATAGTTTCCTGCTTCATGGCCTATGTATGCAAGGGTGAGGAAGATGAACATAGGGTGAAAGCTTTGATGGAATATGGAGGAAAGGTTGCAGGTAATTGCATTTATTATTTTAATTGTGCTTTACAAATTTAATTAGAGGAGTGGTTCTTAACCTTTTTGGAGGTACCAAACCCCACCACTTTCATATGCGCATTCACCAAACCCTTCTTAATGGGAAAAAATTATTTTTTTTTTCTTATTTTATTTTTTGCCCTCCGCCGAACCCCTCAGACTCACTCGCCGAACCCCTGGGGTTCGATCGAACCCAGGTTAAGAACCACTGAATTAGAAGTAGGACCTTTGACATTGCTTCTGGCTCTACTTTAACGTTTGCGCCATTTTCATTACTTTAAGCTTCTAGCTCATCAGTCGGTGTTCGTCACCAGGAGAAGATGCCTGGGCTTCCGGTCTCCTTAAATAGTGTGCGAGAATTGTATGATGATAACCAGGTAGTGCAACGATGGCATGGCTAATGGCTCTGCTTTCTCTGTACTTTTGAAACACCGTATAAATGAGCAAGTGAGAGAGAGAGAGAGAGAGAGGGAAAGAGAGAGAGAGAGAGAGAGAGAGAGAGAGAGAGAGAGAGGGGGGGAGAGAGAGAGAGAAATTGAGTATAGAAGAATTGAGCGTGACATTGCGTGGTTGGTGTCTTATCACACGAACTTTTCGTGCGTTAAACTTCACCGACTATCTGTACTTTTGAGACACAGTATAAAAGAGAAAGAGAGAGAGAGAGAGAGAGAGAGAGAGAGAGAGAGAGAGAGAGAGAGAGAGAGAGAGAGAGAGAGAGAGGGGGGAAGAGAGAGAGAGAAATTGAGTATAGACGAATTGAACGTGACATTGCCTGGTTGCTGTCTTATCACACGAACTTTTCGTGCGTTAAACTTCACCGACTTCATTGACAAAGGGGGGACGTTCAAGCCTGGTTCCTTTTGATCAACTTCAGAAAAGGATTCTCACGCTTTTGGTATCGGTAATCGTTTTTGATAGTAAGAATTATTTTGTGTCACCCGAATCGAAGCAGAGCTAAATGGGGTTCGGTTTCTAAAAGTATTTACACATTTTATTTAACTGTGGTGTTAATGTTTTTTCATATTGACAAATAAACTATATTGTCCACATAACAATAGTTCAGATTAACACAATTAAATAATTTCGATGCATTAAATTTCGAGCTAATTTTTTTTTTTTTAATCCTTATGTGATTAAAGCTAAGCTGACAAAGATAAACATGAAATTGATTAAAAATGTGTTTCAGATTCGAAATTGGGCCCATTCATTCCCGAAACAGGGAATATGGGCGAGTTTGGCCCACATCCCGGCGTCACCGACAAGCCCACCAACATGGCAGTGATCATCAGCGTTTCCTACAAAACATTGGTCGCCAGCGCTGTCACAATGTTCCTCTTGGCTTAGATCTGAAAGAACAAGGAACACGTGAAAAAAGCAATTATTGTACTCAAAGGTTAATCTGTTATTTCAACTTATGAGAGAGCAGTAAAATTGTATAGCCATCTGAGGAAACAGTGAGATAACCTTTGGAAGAGTTTCAAGAACGCTGTTGAATAATAGCAAAATAGTTGAATAAGAACAAAATTTAATATCATTATTATAAAAAAAAAATATTTTCATAAACAAAACATGCAAACTTTTAAAAAAGTTATTGATATATTTTTATTTAATCTGAAATAAAAGTTATTATTAATAGGAATAGAATAAATTAATTTTTTTTTTTGTTTGATTAACGAGTATATGAAAGAAATGAAATTTATTTTTATTCTAAATCAAATACTTTAAAGCATTACTTAGATATTACCGGCAAATATTTATCTATTTTTTAAGTATATTTTTTTTGTCTTTAAACATATCAGAGATGTATTTTTAAATAGTGTTATTTTGAAATGACTTAATCTCCTTGTAAAAATATTTGTGTTTATTTAAGAAAACATCAAATTTCTTACGACAAAAAAAGGGGATAGAAAACTTGCACTCAAAGTAAAAACCTTATTCTAAATAATTATTAGATTTCTTTGTTTTTTTGTTGTTTTTTTTGTTGTTATGTTTGGCTGTTAATTAAACAATTTTCTCTTAAATTAAGTACTGCTGATAGGACGTTCTTGTTTGCATAACAAAAGTTTAAAACTGGCATATTGCTCGACCATTCACTTGCAATGCCATCCTGCAAAAAAGCAGACACTAAAGTTTCAGGACCAGATACAGACCACACATCAGCTTGACCAACTGTGTTATTGTGCACGCTGAAAATGCACAACTCGATTTAAAAAAAGCAGACACTACAGGGTCAGGGCTAGATACAGACCATACATCAGCTTGACCAACTGTGTTATTGTGCACGCTGAAAATGCACAACTCGATTTAAAAAAAGCAGACACTACAGGGTCAGGGCTAGATACAAACCATACATCAGCTTGACCAACTGTGTTATTGTGCACGCTGAAAATGCACAACTCGATTTAAAAAAAGCAGACACTACAGGGTCAGGGCTAGATACAGACCATACATCAGCTTGACCAACTGTGTTATTGTGCACGCTGAAAATGCACAACTCGATTTAAAAAAAGCAGACACTACAGGGTCAGGGCTAGATACAAACCATACATCAGCTTGACCAACTGTGTTATTGTGCACGCTGAAAATGCACAACTCGATTTAAAAAAAGCAGACACTACAGGGTCAGGGCTAGATACAGACCATACATCAGCTTGACCAACTGTGTTATTGTGCACGCTGAAAATGCACAACTCGATTTAAAAAAAGCAGACACTACAGGGTCAGGACCAGATACAGACCACACATCCGCTTTACCAACTGTGTTATGGTGCACGCTGAAAATCTACAACTCGATTAAAAAAAGCAGACGCTACAGGGCCAGGACCAGATACAGACCACACATCCGCTTGACCAACTGTGTTATGGTGCACGCTGAAAATCCACAACTCGATTAAAAAAAGCAGACACTACAGGGTCAGGACCAGATACAGACCAAACATCCGCTTGACCAACTGTGTTATGGTGCACGCTGAAAATCCACAACTCGATTTAAAAAAAACAGACACTACAGGGTCAGGACCAGATACAGACCAAACATCCGCTTGACCAACTGTGTTATGGTGCACGCTGAAAATCCACAACTCGATTTAAAAAAAGCAGACACTACAGGGTCAGGACCAGATACAGACCACACATCCGCTTGATCAAATGTGTTTTGGTGCACGCTGAAAATCCACAACTGGATTAAAAAAAAGCAGACCTCACATTAATCGTAAGCTTTACTTGCATGCGACGCCTTTTGGAGTGACAGAAAGAATCGCATCAAATGTATTGCTGGAGCGTAGTTTTTGTGAACTGAAATTCAAATCAGTAATAATAAAAATAAACACACACACACGAAATATAATTATCAAATTAGAAAAAATTTGCGGTATCGATAAATAAGTCGTAATAACTGAAAATAAATATTTCAAAATTTCCAAATGTATTTTTTATTAAACAAAAGACCGAATCAGTAAAAACATGTTTTTTAATTTTTTTTTTTTTTATAAACTCTTAACAAATGTAATATCGATAAATGAGGTGGGGGGGATGGTTCTGAAATTTAGCAAAACATCATACAATTATTTAATTAATAAAAGAACAAAACTGCACACTTAACGCACTTGCAATATTAAAAAAAAAAGAATTTCCTTTAGCAAAAATTTGGCAAAATATGCATACAGTTAACACGCTATATAAGAATCCAGTTTAGTCCTCCCCGAACTCCCCCCCCCCAGGCTCTAAACCATACATTTTTTTCCGAGTTCCTGAACTATATTTATATTCTATTGTCCCACCAGCTTTTACATTGCAGATTTATTTCACTAACTATTTCGCTGGTTAGGCCATGTAAGGAGAATGGTGTGAGTAAAAAAAAAACGAAAAAAGAAGGTTAAACATGATAAAAAGGAACGCACTTCCCTTTGTACTAACCTGATTGCAGTCTCTCCCCTTATTGCCCTAAGAAGAGGGAAATAAGACCGTATCCCACAGATGCTGCAGAATGGAAAGTAGGCAGAAGAAGCAAGACTCATCAGACGGTCACGCCTGATATATGGACATTTCCAAAGGAAGCATGAGTGAAGCCAACATTGAAATCAACACATGGGAGATCATTTTCCAATAAAGGTTCCGTTTGGCGGGCGAACAGCAGTGTATGAAGGAGTCAAAAAAGGAAGAAGATGAGCAAAACTAAGCCCTTGGAACAAAAAGAACAATGCCTTAGGCCACATCTAACAAAGATTCAATATTCTTTTTCAAGAAATGGAGTCGAGATTGTCATTCCAGGATTTGCTTAGTGAGCGACTCGTCAAAGTGTAGGACTACATAGCTACTCCATCGACTCGCGAAGACGGAAGGACGCCAGATACATAATATATTTTAGAAAATATTAAAAGAAAATATTACACACCAAACGCACTTGACATTTTTTTTTCTTTTAATTTTTTTTTTCAAGAATACATTTAGCGCAGTTACCGGGAATTTGTATCTAGATGATATATTATCAAATAATAAACATCTAGCCATCCTTTCTGTTAAATGAAATATGCATACATTTTTGTTCGCAAAACCAAGTTAGCAAAGGTTCTCATTTTGTAGTTAATACAAAAGGTGCAATGGTTCTCCTTTGTATTTAAATAATAAAAGGTAGTAAAGTTTCTCCTGCTGTAGTTAATATAAATAAAGCGAGAGTTACACACATTTTAGCTCATTAAATAAAACTAGTACTTGTTTGCATGAAGGTTCTCATTGCTATTAATGAAATATTAGTAAAGATTATCCTGTTATAGTCAATAAAAAATGTTATAATGATTCTCATGCTATAGCTATGAAAATAGATAGTGAAGATTATCCAGAATTAATTCTGTTGCATAACACTCCGGGATGGGCTCTTAAGTCTCTCAGTAGGAGGTCAACACTAAAAGGTTACACCTCATCGTCTTATGTGGATGGACTGGCGCCATGCTCAAAACAATGAAACTGAAGCATGTACCGTTCAGACATACGTTTAATCTGCGACTCTATTGTCTCCGCTGACCTACATAATATGTTTTCTGCCTTCATGAGGGTAATGTAAAATTGTCTAAGTAGTCTAGCTCTCATGTTATCACTCTTAATTCCTTCTACAATTCTGTACTTTATCAACGACCCTTTTAAGACTTTCGAATTCACACGACTCTGCCTTGAGTTTTAGGTCAGTTAAAAAATTATCAAACGTTTCTGCGCCAGTTTGACTTCTAGAAGAAAAAAAAAACACTCGTCATTTAATTGTCACATTCTTCCTTGAAAAACAGTGACTCTCAAACTTCTTCAAATGACAGTGAACTGTGTGAAAGAAGTAAATATGTCACAATCTTCGCATTCTGCGACAGTCTAATTAAACTTATTAGATATTTCAACTGCCTCTTGGCCTATCCCTTGCGGTAAAGTCATGGTCTGCACCTGCTGTCTCTTCGTATCCACTCCAGTGATTGTCATGTAAATGCCAAACGACTGCTTTAGTTTTCTCCAATGGACAGCAACATTTCCGTTTAAATCCAGCTGTTGTGGTGGATGGTCTCACCACGCCCAGTAACACCACACGACGTCAAAACAGGCCAATCAAATCACAAAGTTCATTCACTACTGAAAATAAAAATCGTTATGCACACATACTATCACAAAGGAAAACTTATCAATTAGATTGTCAGAGCCAATCTTCTGAGCAATCCTGGTAGTAAAAATATAATTTTTACAAGTGTTTTTTTCTTGTGGGGGGGGGGGTATATCATACATGTTATTTATCTTTTAGAAAGTATGAGCAATATGACCAAATTATGTTTTCAAATATTTCCTGGTTTAAATCAATTGAAATTGTTTCCAATTTCATCCAACAACTCTAAAATAATGTCAAAAATAGTAATGGGTCAATTGGTTATCGCAACGAACAATTAATTCGTCGTTGATGGAATTATCATTTTGTCATTAAAAGAAACAACACATGAAAATGGTGCTCTCACACAAAAATTTAACAAATCTTCGATTGTGTGAACTGAGCTCAAATGGGATGGAGATTTGACAAAAGAAATGAGTGGTTGGGGATCTTATCATGGGATTATGTCTTCCGGGGGAGTTATACAAGTGTAAATGAGACAGTCAGGTTCGACAGTTGGGTGTAGGATAGAATTTTCAAATAAAAACATATGGGACGTAAAAGTCATACTAGAACAATAGAATTAAGGGTGTGGTATAGAATGTTCAAATTAAAACATAATGGACGTAAAAGTCATACTAGAACAATAGAATTAAGGGTGTGGGATAGAATGTTCAAATTAAAACATATCGGACGTAAAAGTCATACTAAAAGGAATCGGGATGTGGCATCACAATAGAATTAAGGGAGGCAGTACATTACAAACGATCCATGGGCGTCTTTTGCCCTCCTGCCTTCCTGTCCTTCGTTCCTGATACCCTCCCTTAGTATCTCTTTGCAAGCAGTGAATCGTCCTCTTCAATACAATGCACATAAACATCGCGAACCTTCTCTAAATACATATGAGCTAGAAAGATCAGTCTTAGCCGAGGCTGAAATTAAAGCGAAATTTAACATTTTGGTTTCGGCCGAAACCGAAATTAGGCCGAAAGGGATCAAATGGCCACTTTCGGTACCGAAACCGAAGCCGAAATTTGGTAAGACTCTAATCGGTACATACACTAGTCGTTTACCTTTAAGATATAAAAGAATAAGAAGAAGAGGTATAGTGGGAAAGGTAGTTACGCTAAAAGGAAACTAGAGATAGCCCTCCAAACATTGGCGACAGGATTGCGTGAAATTCTCATCTAGTAAAGTTACTTTACAAAATATGAACTAAGGTAACGTACATTTAAGAATCCCAATATTTGCTACACCCCTTCCCCCATGATACGTCACTGCACACTTTTTATTTCACGCCCATGAACTATATTAATATTCTCATGCCCCAACCAATTTTAAACGGAATATTTTTTTACACAATACTTAAATTAAATCGATTTTATTTCCGAAAAGAAAATATTGCGTTATTATATACATATATATATCATTTAGCGTAGTATTCGGGAATTATATTTTGCGCACTATTGAAATCATAATTTAACCACACACTGGCGTATCTATATATAGCCTGCGTGGTGGGGGTGTTTAACCTTTGCTGGCGAATTATATATATAGATAGATGAAAACAAATATATAACTTTGTATTAAGTGCTTAGCTAAATTGTATTTATATTTAAAATATATACAAGCAGATGATTATATCAAATTTATGTATTTAAATATATATATATATATATATATATATATATATATATATATATATATATATATATATAATATATAAATAAATATATATATATAAGATTTAAAATATTTTCTATCATAAATATATATATATATATATATATATATAATAGATAAATGAATAAATATATATCAGCTTTAAACTGGTTTCAATCATATCTTTCTGACAGAATTCAAACAGTCTCTATTTCCAACGGCTCTTCCAAACCTGCAGCCCTGTCTATTGGAGTTCCTCAAGGATCGGTCCTTTGGCCGGTCCTTTTCATCCTCTACACTAAACCTCTATCATCTCTCATTAGCCACCACTCAGTTTCCAGTCAATCCTTTGCTGATGAACCTCAAATCAGTGACTCTTGCTTTCCTGATCAATTTGATGCCACAATCCTTCGCATACAGGAGTTACGTGGATGACGTAAAGAGCTGGATGACTTGTAACAAACTGAAGCTAAATGATGATAAAACGGCAATCCTTCTCATCCACTCTCAAAACAAACCTCTCCCTCCATCCGCTCCTTCTTCTATATCTATTGGCAACTCTGACATAACACTCTCTTTCTCTGCCAGAAACCTTGGAGTCACGCTTACAGACACACTCTCCATGGACAAACATGTCACGAATATATGTAGATCAGCATATAACGAAATTAGAAAAATCAGCACCATTAGACACCTCCTCTCCTTTGATGCCACAAAAACTCTCGTCTCTTCACTCATTCTTTCAAAATTTGACTACTGTAACTCTTCTTGCAGGCATTCCTCAACACCACATAGACAAACTTCAGAAGGCACAGAACTCAGCATGCAGACTCATTTTTAAATCAAAGAAACATGACCACATTCAACCACACATGCGGAAACTCCACTGGCTTCCAATATCCTCTCACATCAAGTACAAGTCTTCCAATCTATGCTTCAACTCGTTCACTGACCCTCACTTTCCTTTCTATCTCTCTGAACTGTTGCTTCCTTACATCCCCACAAGACAACTACGCTCTTCCATTGACAATAGAACCCTCTCAATCCCAAGAACCAAAACTAAGACCATCGGTGAACGCTCCGTGTACTTCCATGGGCCCTCGTTCTGTAACCAGCTCCCCTTCCATATCCGTCATTGTGAAACTTCGTCCACTTTTAAAAAGTCCTTAAAACCCATCTGTTTAGGTCCGCCTATGACCTGTGATGCAACCTCCTTGCCCTGCCTCATTTTCTGTATCGGGTTGATCCTGTATTATAGGCAAAACGTGCCAAAGTGTCCTCGTTTTATAGCCATTTTAATTGTTTCTATAGTATAGTAGTTACTATCCTAGTGTCTCATTTTTTATTTTACTTAGTTTACATGTTTTTAATAATTGTAAAGCGCTTAGAGCTTTAAGGTAAGCGCTATATAAAAAATGCCTAAATAACTAAATAAATAAATGTCGTGCATATAAAACAATATAGACGAATAATTCAAATAATTTTTAAGGAGCTAATAATAACGCACACAAAAAAAAATGTTTGTTTTCAATTTTGTTGTGTGTACTATGTCATTTCCGTTCAATTCTTACTTCCATCTTTTTGCGACTAAAAGCATCTTTCAAACTTTGATACAGAACTTTATAATTATTTCTTTTAAACCAGGTGGGAATGCTATAATGCCTAATTCATTTTGGTCCTTCTTTTTTAACCTATTCATTTTTAAAAGGACAGATACCAGTTAAAGTAAACTTGCTTAAACATTTTAATGTGTGATCGTACACCACTTCTCTGATAATTAACTCAAAAACCGTGGTTTCCATGGGCCGCCATCTTCGTTGCCACGACACGTAAACAAAAGAGAGTTAACTCGGCACGGAAAGTAAATTAACACGTAAAAGACATCATGGCGCGAATTCTATGAATCGCCCAAAATTTAATTTTCGACTTGACCTATTACAACACGGCAATGGTGGCCTCCGCATAAAAAATTCATCAAGTCACTGTGTTCTACAGTGAATACGTAGATGGACTTACATTCCTATTTGTGTTCGGAAAACGTTCCCGCATGTGGGGCACGCGTTGTTTTGAGTAGCAGTTGAAGTTGGAGTTGAGTCGATTACGCTGTGTCTTCTTATGCTTTTTTTGTTTTTTTTTGCGGCTTGAGTGGTGTGTGCTTCTTCTTCTGTGAGGTGTGTGCTTCTTCTTCTGTGAGGTGTGTGCTTCTTCTTCTGTGAGGTGTGTGCTTCTTCTTCTGTGAGGTGTGTGCTTCTTCTTCTGTGAGGTGTGTGCTTCTTCTTCTGTGAGGTGTGTGCTTCTTCTTCTGTGAGGTGTGTGCTTCTTCTTCTGTGAGGTGTGTGCTTCTTCTTCTGTGAGGTGTGTGCTTCTTCTTCTGTGAGGTTTGGGCTAAAATACCGAGTATGACACGCCATCTTGTTTCATCCGTAGAAAAAAAGTCTCACACGATGACCGTTCAACGTTCATTGAAATTGAGTGAAAATTGTATACAGATCTTGAAGCGTTTTTTTTCCTTCCCACTAGCCTAAAGTTTCCAACTGGAGAATTAACAGAAAAAATAGTCGTTCGGGAAGTCTGCTGTCTGGAAATCTATCAACATAGATAGCATAGGTGGAGATGGTTGAATGACTTGCATGTCTGCAGTCTCGTTTGCACATAGTTTGTTTGCGGAGCACCGTGACCTAAATACACATATTATTAGAGAGATTTTAACTCCGGCATGTTAGCATCGTTAAAATACAAGAAGAGAATGTTGGCTTATAACTCCAAAGGTTGTGATGTGATTACAGCGTCAACGATTACTGAACACTTAAAATTAAACTGAAAATATTTTAACAATTACGAACATTTTAACCTTTTTAATGTAATCTTACCATCACGCGGTCAACATTACTCTAAAGCTGTATAACATGAAGCAAAAATGTTCTGTTTAAACAGGTACTCTAAAATTGTTGAACTCAAGGCGTGTCCTCCCAGAGGTATCCTGTTTTGGTGAGTTACATCCTTCACACTCGCTGCTACAAGATGCTACCTAACGCCGTGGTATTTTATGGCTTGATGGCTCTGTTATGTATCGTGGGTAAGTCTCTGTGTTAAATTTCATTTAAACAAAGTATAACATCCTTTCATATTTTTATGAGCAAATTCGTAATTCTTTTCATCATTAAAGATACATACGTGGAGAACTGTGTTAAGGTTAAGGCCATAAAAATTATACTTATTGTAAAAGAACATGCGTCTCATCCATCTTTAAATCCAAATCTTGACTGTATAATATCTTATCATTGCAGATACATGTCTATAAGTCTATTCATGTGTTGTTGTCTAAGAGTATATTCGTCTAAAAGAAAGCACAAATCTTTATCGATGACACCGCATGTGAAAATATACTAAGTTGAATTATATACACGGGATGATATACATAAATATGTAGAGATCAAATGAGCATGAAGCAGTAGCAAGAGTCATATGAATACGTGCGTTTTTATGAAATTTTGGTGGTTTTATCAGTAATATTTGATGTATCTTATGATGAATTCAAGCTCTAAGCAATGATCCTCGTAGTAGAGTTGATGTTGTATTCTCCTAGCTGGACCTCAGAAAAGTCCTCCGTCCAGTTGACGTGATTGTGTAACATCTAGCTTCGACTCAGAGAGGACATCAAAGTCAGAGTTGACGTGATGGTATAACATCTGGCTTCAACTCAGCGAGGTAATCAAAGTCAGAGTTCACGTGATGGTATAACATCTGGCTTCAACTCAGCGAGGTAATCAAAGTCAGAGTTGACGTGATGGTGTAACATCTAGCTTCAACTCAGCGAGGTCATCAAAGTCAGAGTTGACGTGATGGTGTAACATCTGGCTTCATCTCAGCGAGGTCATCAAAGCCAGAGTTGACGTGATGGTGTAACATTTAGCTTCAACTCAGCGAGGTCATCAAAGTCAGAGTTGACGTGATGGTGTAACATCTGGCTTTCAACTCAGCGAGGTCATCAAAGTCAGAGTTGACGTGATGGTGTAACATCTGGCTTCAACTCAGTGAGGTCACCAAAGCCAGAGTTGACGTGATGGTGTAACATTTAGCTTCAACTCGGCGAGGTCATCAAAGCCAGAGTTGACGTGATGGTGTAACATCTAGCTTCAACTCAGCGAGGTCATCAAAGTCAGAGTTGACGTGATGGTGTAACATCTGGCTTCAACTCAGTGAGGTCATCAAAGCCAGAGTTGACGTGATGGTGTAACATTTAGCTTCAACTCAGCGAGGTCATCAAAGCCAGAGTTGACGTGATGGTGTAACATCTAGCTTCAACTCAGCGAGGTCATCAAAGTCAGAGTTGACGTGATGGTGTAACATCTGGCTTCAACTCAGTGAGGTCATCAAAGCCAGAGTTGACGTGATGGTGTAACATTTAGCTTCAACTCAGCGAGGTCATCAAAGCCAGAGATGACGTGATGGTGTAACATCTAGCTTCAACTCGGCGAGGTCATCAAGGTCAGAGTTGACGTGATGGTGTATCAAGCTTCAAGCCTTACCTCAAAGGACTCTTTCAAGTCCAAGTTGACAAGATGGTGTATGTTTCTAGCTAAATATTCTGGATCTTGGCAATATCTGATAGTGTAGGGTTGATGCTATTAAAAACAGTGGCTAAGAGAATTTTTTTTTAATGTAAGCTAAAATGAAGAAACCTATCTTCCGGTTTCATTAAATTTAAAAAAGACAAATCTATAGTGAGCCTTGAGTAGGTAAAGGAACAAATCCGAGAATAAGGAGAGTTACTTGCAAACTTAACCAAGTACACTTAACTGTTTTTAAGTAAATATGTTGCTTTGTTGTTGTTTTTTTAAACAGCAGAAGCAGGAAGTGTTACCCCGACAAAAGATTTCCAGGCAATACTTATTGGTAGAAAGGCTTCAATTTTGTGGAGAAAGATAGAAAATATTAGCCCTTGTATTATACCTTGAGAATTGCCTTCTACTTGATATACAAAGTTTCGATCATTACATTATATTGATTAGGTCATAAAATATTCCAGGTTTGATTGATTGTGTGTTTTAATTATGCGTCTTGTCTCTCCTTGAATCTTAATACAAGGACTTGCAGTTCACAGTCTGCATTTATAAGTTGAAATAAAATTCCAGAGGCGTGGACTTTCCCTTCGCATCCCTTTTTTTACAATACTGAACTCCAAGCTCGTTACCGATATGAAATATGACGTCAAATAACTATTCGAGGAGCTCCACATAGCGTTCTGGCAACCATTGAATCTTCGACAGTTTGAAATAAAGTTTACACAAACGGTTCATTAAATCGTAGATTGACATGTATCTTCTATTTTTTTCTTGATCAATCTATTTATTTAGGTGTCAACACTGATACAGAGGGCCCGCAGATTGTTGACAACTGTCAGGAGAGAACTGCCGCGTGCAGGAATATTGCAACAACGGTTGATGAGATTGTGTAAGAGAAACGTATTTATGTTATGAACTTTCGCCCACGTTATCAAGGATCTATCTCAAGAACTGAAAGTATTCTGTACTTTAATAGATTACTTGTGTGAATGACGTAGGACGGTGGAGAAGATAGATGAAACAGTATCCACCCATAAAGGGAATGTCTTCTTTGTGTTTGTTGCCCTAGCCTAGAACGATTGCAGAGCTTTCGGGAGGAGAGCATCCTATCCACAAGCTAAGAGAATGCATCCTTTTTTTTAAAACATCGTAATAAATGTAGTACTATTGAGCGAGTACGCCCTTCTGTTTGTATGAGAATATTTGCCAACCCAACTCAAAACAAATAATCAATTATTTGTTTTTTTTGTCTTTTTTTTCAGAAAGAAAGAAAAGGAAATAGTTTCCTGCTTTATGGCCTATGTATGCAAGTTCGAGGAAGAGGAACATAGGGTGAATGCTTTGATGGAATATGGAGGAAAGATTGAAGGTAATTCCATTTATTATTATGATTGTCCTTTACAAATTTAATTACAACAGTGGTTCTTAACCTTTTTGGAGGTACCGAACCCCACCAGTTTCATATGGGCATTCACCGAACCCTTCTTAATGGGAAAAACAAAATGTGATTCTTTTTCCTGATTTTTTGGGGGGTCTCCGCCGAACCCCTCAGACTGACTCGCTGAACCCCTGAGGTTCGATCGAACCCAGGTTAAGAACCACTGAATTAGAATTAGTTCCTTTGACATTGCTTCTGGCTCTATTTTAACGTTTGCGCCATTGTCATTACTTTAAGCTTCTAGCTCATCAGTCGGTGTTCGTCACCAGGAGAAGATACCTGGGCTTCCGGTCTCCTTAAATAGTGTGCGAGAATTGTATGATGATAACCAGGTAGTGCAACGAAGGCATGGCTATTGGCTCTGCTTGTCTGTACTTTCGAAACACCGTATAAATGAGCAAGTGAGAGAGAGAGAGAGAGAGAGGGAAAGAGAGATAGAGAGAGAGAGAGACAGAGAGTATAGAATTTTTGAACGTGACATGCCTGATTGCTGTCTTATCACACGAACTTATCGTGCGTTAAACTTCACTGACTCCATCGACAAAGGGGGGACGTTCAAGCCTGGTTCCTTTTGATAAACTTCAGAAAAGGATTCTCACGCTTTTGGTATCGGTAATCGTTTTTGATAGTAAGAATTATTTTTTGTCACCCGAATCGAAGCAGAGCTAAATGGGGTTCGGTTTCTAAAAGTATTTACAAATTTTATTTAAATGTGGTGTTAATGTTTTTTCATATTGACAAATAAACTATATTGTCCACATAACAATAGTTCAGATTAAATCCTAATGTGCTTAAAGCTAATCTGACTATGATAAACATGAAATTGATTGAAAATGTGTTTCAGGTTCAAAAATGGACCCGTCTATTCCTGAAACAGGCGTCACCGACAAGCCCACCAACATGGCAGTGATCATCAGCGTTTCCTACAAAACATTGGTCGCCAGCGCTGTCACAATGTTCCTCATGGCTTAGATCTGAAAGAACAAGGAACACGTGAAAAAAGCAATTATTGTACTCGATGTTAATCTGTTATTTCAACTTATGGGAGAGCAGTAAAATTGTATAGCAATCTGAGGAAACATTTAGATAACCTTTGTAAGAGTTTCAAGAACGCTGTTGAATAATAGCAAAATAGTTGAATAAGAACAAAATTTAATATCATTATTGTAAAAAATAAATAATTTCATTAGCAAAACATTGGAAACTTTAAAAAAGTTATTGATATATTTTTATTTAATCTTAAAAAAACGTTGTTATCAATAGGAAAAGAATAAATTAATATTTTGTTATTTGATTAACGAGTATATGAAAGAAATGAAATTTATTTGTATTCTAAATCAAATACTTTAAAGCATTACTTAGATATTACCAGCAAATGTAATTATCTATTTTTTAAGTATAATTTTTTTGTCTTTAAGCATATCAGAGATTAATTTTTTTTTTTATTTTTTTTAAACTCACTTAATGTCTCTGTAAACATTCCTGTGTTTATTTAAGAAAACATAAAATTTCTTACGACAAACAAAAGGGATGGAAAACTTGCACTCAAAGTAAAAACCTTATTTTAAATAAATATAAGATTTAGTTGTTTGTTTGTTGTTGTTTTTTTGTTGTTTTATGTTTGGTTGTTAATTAAACAATTTTCTCTTCAATTAAATACTGCTGATAAGACGTTCATGTTTGCATAACAAGAGTTTAAAGCTGGCATAAAGCTCGTCCATTCACCTGCAATGCCACCCCACAAAGCAGACACTACGGGGTCAGGACCAGATACAGACCACACATCAGCTTGATCAACTGTGTTATGGTGCACGCTGAAAATCCACAACTCGATTAAAAAAAGCAGACACTACGGGGTCAGGACCAGATACAGACCACACATCAGCTTGATCAACTGTGTTATGGTGCACGCTGAAAATCCACAACTCGATTTAAAAAAAACGTAGACCTCACAATAATCGTAAGCAGTACTTTCATCCGATGCCCTTTTGGATTGACAAAAAGAATCGCATCAAATGTATGGCAGAAGCGTAGTTTTTGTGAACTGAAATTCAAACCAGGAATAAAAAAAAATACACACACACACAAGATATAATTATCAAATCAGAAGAATTCTTTTCGGTATCGATAAATAAGTCGTTATAATTAAAACTCAATTAAAATTAAATATTTCAAAATTTCCAAATGTTCTTTTTATTAAACAAAAGACAGAACCAGTAAAAACATGTGTTTTTTTTGTGGGTATAATTTCTTTATAAATGTAATATCGAGCAAGGAGGGGTGGTTCGGAAATTTTGCAAAACATAATACAATTATTTCTTAATAAAATAACAAAATTGCAACCTAACGCACTTGCAACATTAAAAAAAAAGAATCTCCCTTAGCGAAAATTTGGCAAAATATGCATACAATTGACGCGCTTTATAAGAATCCAGTTTAGTCCCCCCCCCCCACACACCCCCCCTTCCAGTCTCGAAAACACTACTTTTTTCCGAGCCCCTGAACTACATTTACACTCTACTATTATCCCACCAGCTTTTACATTGCAGATTTATTTCACCAACTATTTCGCTGGTTTGGCCATGTAAGGAGAATGGAGTAAGTAAAAAAAAAAGGAAGGTTAAACATTAAAAAATGAATACACTTCCTTTTGTACTAACTTGATTGCAGTCTCTCCCCTTATTGCCCTAAGTAGAGGATTGGCTTAGTGAACCACTGGTCAAAGTGTAGGACTACATAGCCACTCAATCGTCTCGCGAAGACGGAAGGATGCCAGATACATAGATACTTTAGAATAAATTAAAAGAAAATATTACACACCAAACGCACTTGCTATTTTTTTTTTTTTTTTTTTTAAATAATACATTTAGTGCAGTTATCGGGAATTTGTATATAATCTAGATGATATATTATCAAATAATAAACGTATAGCCATCCTTTCTGTTAAATGAAATATGCATACATTTTTGTTCGCAAAACCAAGTTAGTAGAGGTTCTCATTTTGTAGTTAATACAAAAGGTGCAATGGTTCTCCTTTGTATTTAATTTTAAAAAGTGGTAAAGTTTCTCCTGCTGTAGTTAATATAAATAATAAAGCAAGTTTTGTAAAACTGTTAGCTAATTATATAAAGCTAGTACTGGTTTGCATGAAGGTTCTCATTTCTATTTAATAAAATGTTAGTAAAGATGATCCTGCTATAGTCAATTTTATAAAGGAATTATACTGTACTGGGGAATCATGTGAGTGTTAACGAGACAGTGTGTTTTCGTGTCGTATAGAAGTTTCCAATTAAAGCAGAGGTCTTGATTTCAAATCATCCGTGGGCCACAGGAGATGATGTCTGAGTGAGACTGGGCCGCATCAAGTATTCCACAAAATAAGCGATGACAAAGTCAACAATGTACAACAATTACAATCTGCTGAACTTTTATTAATAACAACAAAAAAAACATTAAGGACTCCCAAGAACTAGGATTCACTTTCTTCCTCCTACTACTCCTTCTTACCAGAAATCTGGCAGCGCTTCTTCTTACAAAGCTGAGCAGCGCTGGGCTTGAGTGATGAAGCAACTGAGATCCTTGTCTGTTTTTTCATTGATCACCCTGATTGAGAATTGCTCTGAGGATAAATCAGTTCCATTTGAAGCGCAAGTAGTGGGGGTTGCATCTTCCAAATTGGAAATGGTCAGCAAAAGTTAAAATGCTGCTCTGTCTGTTTTGAAGTCTAAAAAATGTGATTAAATTCTTCATGCAGTTTTGCAATGGAATCCGTATACTTACTACTAAATGGTGTGCCCGAGTCTAATTTACATGTTGGGAAATGGCACAGGTCTCTCTAAGAATTATAACACAGGTTTGGCGCAGGATGTCCTCACATTGCTATAGCCTACACTGACAAGCTACCCCTGGTCTTGTAACTTGTTCTTGAGTACATTTAGCTCCATGTCAACAAGAAAATCGAATGCCATGAGCCATTTATTTAGCTCCATGTCAACAAGAAAATTGAATGCCATGAGCCATTTATTTAGCTCCATGTCAACAAGAAAATCGAATGCCATGAGCCATTTATTTAGCTCCATGTCAACAAGAAAATCGAATGCCATGAGCCATTTGTTTAGCTCCATGTCAACAAGAAAATCGAATGCCATGAGCCATTTGTTTAGCTCCATGTCAACAAGAAAATCGAATGCCATGAGCCATTTGGGTTCACTTAGTACAGGAAGAACCAACTCATCCTTGAAGGCTAAAACATGTTCAAACAGTAAGCAGTGACAGGCAAAATCCATCAATTATTGATACGATGGATGATGCTATTGTAGGGAGTATGAACTTTGATTTTTTTTTATCGAAGAAAATGCCTTTTTGTCGAACCTACCTTGAAAGTGACCACGCTGACAGGCTCGGAATTTCTCTCACTCGTAAACACTAGCAGCGATTTGTATAGGGATTCTTTGATATTGTCAGGTTGCTATGATTTACACAATTATGTTTGTGCATTACCCACTAACTGACATTTGTAACGTATCTTAAAACCGCACTCTTACCATTGTTTGTCTCACAAAATTCTATAAATCTAAAACTTTTATTCCGATTTTAAAACTGTTCTTACCATTATAATCAACATAAAATCCATACAAAAACAATGATAATCAGCATTAGACTATCCGGTGAGATTCTACTGAAGCTTTCGCAGATGGTCACATTATAGAAATAAGGATGGGGAAACCGCGCGGGCCGTATTAACACTAAACTTTGCTGTCTTGTAGCGGGCCGCAAAATATCTTCTTGCGGGCCGCGATTTTGAGACCCCTGAATTTAAGTATGTTGGATGTGGAGTTATATGAGAGGTAGATGTTGCGGGAATTAACTAATCGAAGTATGTGGTGCAGGATTTGACATTACAAGTAAGTAGGGCATGACTTTACATAAACGAAGTAATGGGGATGGGATAGCACAAAAGATTTACGTGGGACAGCACATTACAAACGTCAAACGACCCATTTGCGTCTTTTGCCTCCTTCCTTACAGCACCCCCCCCCCCCCCCCCCCCCC